TGCCTGAGCATTTTACCTTTGATAAACGACCGATGCTCTGTCACCAAATCTGCTTTTCCATGTTTTATCACTGCTCTGTTGGGTAATGGAAAGTCACATTTGTAACATGTTTTGATGTTGACATGTCTGAGAATGTGGCTGTAGGAGCCCAGGGGAGAGGAGGCTTCTGGGAAATGTAGTGACCTCCACACACTTTAATACCAACAGGGCACAGGAGAGAGTCTGGGACATCTATTATACTGTCAGCCAGTCTGGGAACGCCTGATAGAGATGATAAATACAAATGTAGCCTATAGAGTTTTATGTGGTTCAGTATTAATGGATTTTGTCATTAAGTGTTTTTTAATTTATTTATTTTTTTTTACACAATCACTTTTATTTTAGAGGGAACATCAAATTAACATCTGCGTACATAAAGCTGGTGGAATTTAAAAAATTTGAAAAAAAAAAAAAAACATATAGCAGAAATCCAATGAGTACAAAATGTAAGCTCTCTGATGGAGGGGCCACCACCTTCTTGTCTCCATGGAGCGGTCATTTCAATGCCTGTAATGTTCCAATATGGCATTAAACTATATACCACCATAGAGACAAGCAGGTGAGGCCACCAGGTCAAGTAACAAGTTGGATCTGTAGAAAGGAGACGTTACTAAGAATACATGTTTTTCAATATATTTCTTTTATGAATAAAGATACCTGTAATAAAGTAAATGCTAAAATAGTGATATATAAGTTCCATACTGTTTACACTTCAGGCAGAGATTTGAATGTCTGTGAAGACAAGCAGGTGGCTTGTCCTATATTACCGTATTTTTCAGACTATAAGTCACTCTGGAGTATAAGTTGCACCAGCCAAAAAATGCATAATGAAGAAGAAAAAACATATATAAGTCGCACCGGACTATAAGTTGCACTTTTTGGGGGAAATTTATAGTATAAAATCAGAGACCAGGAACCGACATTTCATCTCGAAAGGCAAATTATGATAATAACAATGGAACAGAGAACAACAGCCTGTTAATGTAAAATATTAAGAGTTATTCAGATAACTATAGCACAAACAACATAACATAAGTTTACCAAACACTCCATCTCACTCCAAATCATTAAATCCATTGAATTCTTCATCCTCCGGAGGTAAATGGAGCGCCGCTTCCTCTTCTGCATAGTTGTCGTCAGACTCAAGATCAGTTCCAGTTACAATTATTCTGGGCTTTCTGAATCCCGATAGGATGTTTTCAGTTGTCCAGGCTTTGTCGATCCATCCAATGACTTCCAGGAAAGTTGCATGGTGCACCTGCCTGGTTGCTGTGAAGCTGTGTTGTCCATCCCCGCCATTCGCCAGTCCCTGACAAGTTTCTCGCTCACGCCAAACGTTCTTTCTGCTGCTCAGTTACCATTTTTGGCTGAATATTTCACTACTTGCAGCAGGACAGAGGCTTTTTTCTGCAGGAGACATGCACAGTAAAGGGCAAAGAGCCAGTGTTACAGGAGTAATAGGAGTAGCAGATACTGGCACGCAAGCCTAGAGCCTCTCGAGGCTGTCAGTGTGAAAATTTTAATATATAAATCGCACCAGATTATAAATCACAGGACCACCCAAACCATGAAAGAACATGAAAGTGACTTATAGTCCGAAAAATACGGTACACAGTATTGATTTATGTGAGCTTTAAATCATATTGTAATGTTACTCTATCAAAAACATACCTGGAGTTGTGTTTTGTTTCATTTTCACAATTCTCACAGAGCACTTTTGATGTCATGTAGTTTTCAAGTTAACAGCTACATTTTGCCATTTATTCAGTAGAGAGTGGCATTTCCAGGTCTTGAATACATATGTAGTCAAAATATGATAAATACAGTTACTATGATTTATTTAACTTTAATTATACAGTTTAAGTGTATTCCCAGTTACCACAATAAACACAACAGTAAAACTTGACATGGTGACACCTCATTATTCCAGGCTTTACATCAGATTTACCATGTGGCTCTGAAGAGGGCACTAACAGTACTGTGTTGTTTGACCACAAATACGCAGAGGTCAAAGGTCGTGTTATGGGACAGAGGCACTGACTGTCACAAGTGTTTTTTTATGAGTTTAAATGACTACAGATCATAAAAGCTGTAAAATAAAGAGTGTAAACCTACTAACCTCTCACAGTACGTTTGTGCTTCTGCTGACCGCATAAGAGTTTTATAGATGACTAAGGCTAGAAATAGGCCATATGTTTGATGTGTAGTAACAGCAGTCATAATAGAAGTCATAATAATAGTAGTAGAAGTTGTAGTTGAATTGGAAGAAGTAGTGACTAGTCCTAATAATGACAGAAGCAGTATTTAAAAGGCCCATGTTATACTATTTTCTAATTTATGTTATAATGTTCTCATCAGAGACATACCTGGAGTTTTGTTTTGCTTCATTCACGTGTTTAACTCATAAACTCTGCAGTTCTCTGAGTTTTTCTCTTAAAATGCAAAGACTCTGTTCCACCTTGTGATCTCATATGATAATACAGGAAATGTGGTCCACTGTGTTTTTAAACTCCATACACCTTCACTAGAATCATTTGGATCATTTCAGTCTTGGAAGTTCCAGTTTCCACTAAACAAAAGGTAAAAGGAGCTGTTAACTTGAAAACTACTGTTTCGTGACATCACAAGGTAAACAGAGCATTTTGAACTTTGGAGATGTAGACAGACTAATAACACAGGTTTACTCAAACATGTGTGAATGGAACAAAACACAACTTCAGGTATGGTCTTGAGGAGGTAACAGCATTATTTTGGGCAATAGAGACCCTTTAATAGCAAAATTTATTAAATGGCATCTTTCTGGGCCCTGGAGGACTCCACACCAAACAAATTAAAAATACACTCTAAAAATCTAATCTAAATCTAAATCTATATAAATCTAAATTTTTTTTTATCATTTGACACCAACGGTCTTGTGATAGTTTCTGAAAAAGTCTTGACTAAGAAACAAATACCGTATTTTCCGGGCTATTAGGCACGCTCTTAAGCCTCCAACCCCATCAAAAAACGACTGTGCGCCCCATAATCCAGAGCGCCCCATACACGAATCCACTCGGGTGTCCCAGCGCGACTTCAGTAAACTACAAAGCCGCACCACCAGCAGAACATGCAAACAAGCTCGGAGCAGACAGCGACTGCGCAGCGAAAAACACCCACAGCCACACTCACTGAGTCACTGCGAACACGCCAACAATCCAGCGGTCCCAGACAGCACCCTCCTTACACGCCACAACTGAACAAATCCCAGAGTCACCGTGAACGCCCCAAACAACGTCCGACTGACCCATCCAACTGTTATGTTTCGTTTATAGTTCGGTGCGGTTTATTTGTGAAAAAAGTTCAAAAATAGACCATTTAATGACAGTGTGCCTTATAAGTATAAGTATGTTTGTATGCTTTTTCAGTTTGGTTGTTTTTATTGCACTGATAACCATGTCCTAACTCTGAGTGGGCTTGCATCTCCACAAACCTGACTCTTATTTAGCTAGGAAAGCCTCCTCCTGCTTTTGAATTTGTTATATTCTACTATGACACTCATCTATTGGCACAGAGAATGTTCCCAAGTATGTTTTTATTTTCTTTCTCCATGGATCATACTGGTGATGTGCCACCTCCATGAAATTACCCACAGTTCTTTAACTAAAGGTTAACTAAAATATTGTGGAGTTTTTATCATTTATGATGACATACAGGAAAAATTACCCATGATGAACTAGAAGGCATGCCATTTTTGTTAATCTTACACTTAACCATTAATGTTAGACAACTGCTTCCCAAAGTGCCTCTAGTTTTGTTTGTTTTTTATTCTTGCATCAACAAATTCCTCCAAACTGAAAAAATAGCATATTTTAATCCTTGGTGCATCTTAAGACCAAACTTCTACATTCACGAGGAGCACACAGAGACCGGGTGCTCTGTGTGTGTGTGCCTCTCGTGAGATCACAAGACTGCAAAGGCTTAAGAAGTAAACCCTGTACAAAAACTTCTGTCAATCATTATGCACATTGTGAATATTACTGGAGCACACATTAATCTAGTTTGCATTTTAATTTGAAGCCAAGTACCAAGCGTGAAAATGGGTCACTAACAAAGGTCCATTTTAGGTTGTGTAATCAATTTTTCTGCATCACTAGCAGACAATTTTTGACCTGGATTTTAAACCTAACCTAACCCTTCGAGAGGGATTTTCAAAGGGAGTCTAGTACAGCAGGGTGGTCAAAAGTCAGATTTATAGTGGCTGGAAATTTTAAGAGTTAGGAGTGGGAGAGCTTAAGATAGCAGATTTTAACACATTTTTTTTAGAACTTGCATAAGCCCACACACACACAGCAATACAAAACCATAAACCTACACTTTTATGTTGTTGTGTACATGATGTAACGCCACAAGTGGGCTTAACACTGTGGGAAAATGTGAAAAATAAAACAACTTGCAGATCACACAAAACAATAGTAACTCCACATATCTTTTACTAGTTTATATTTGCCAACAGAAGACCATCCGCTTTATCTTTGCTTACTGTCTGGAATTTTACTTTTATTAAAGACATAAAAATATTGGAAATGTTTGCAGCATAATATTTCATTTAATTGTTGTTGTGTTTTCATATGGGAGAGCAATCGGCAAAAGTAGAGAGGAAAACTGACATAAATAATATGCAATTCCACATGAAGAACAGGTCTAGATAGAGTCATTTCATTCCCTTCCTTATTCTCAATAAATACTTATAATGTTCCTTATTTCGTCATGCTTTTGAGCCTAAAATATTTGAAAAATAGTTTTTCAATGAAGTATGATCAAACTGTTTCTAAACACATTGCAGTAAAACCTCATCAGCTATTCTAGAATAAAAATGCAGTGAAACAGACGAAGATCATCTAAATACAGAGTTAATATTGAGTTCCTGTTCTTGTTTTAGTCAAGTGAGTGATATGCATTAATATGTTATTTTTGTTTCCCAGTTTCTTTCAGACCGCGTGGTGAAAGCAGCGAGGTCTGTGTACTGTATGATCCTGGAAAAGAGCCGGAGCCTCATCAGAGACAGAAAGTATCATCTGAAAACATACAGGTACAGACATCTGTTTGACAACTCAGTTACATAAGAAGGGGAATGTTCATAGTAAAAGCATATTTCTATTTATTTGTGTTACAGACAGTGTTGTTCAGGAAAGGAGCTTGTTGATTGGCTGATGAGGGAGAATGAGGGGATCCAGTCCAGGAGTCAGGCTGTGGGCATGTGGCAGGTGCTGGTGGACGAGGGAATCCTGGCACATGGTGAGAATACACTCAGTTTATTACTTGTGTCTGTACAAAAATAATAGTGTCTCAATAAGAACTAACTTGGATATTTATTTAATTTGTTTTGTGTGGCAGAGGCTCAGTTTGTAGAGAGATTAAACTGCCCACTAACCCAAAAGGTTGGTGTTCCAAACCCTTGTACCGTATTTTTCCGGTCACTCCAGAGTGCCAGCCAAAAAATGCGCAATGAAGAAGAAAAAAACATATATAAGTCCCACCAGACTATGAGTCGCACTTTTTGGGGAAATGTATTTTATAAAATCAGAGACCAGGAACCAACATTTCATCTTGAAAGGCAAGTTCTAGTAATAACAACAGAACAGAGAACAACAGGCTGAATAGATGTTAATATGTTAACGTAACATATGAATAGTTATTCAGATAATTATAGCATAAACAACAGAACATAAGTTTACCAAACTCTCAATCTCACTCAAATCACTAAATCCATTGAATTCTTCATCCTCAGTGTCACTTCTGCACGACCTCCGGAGATAAACCATAGATCCGTGATGTAAACGGAGCACCGCTTTCTCTTCTGTGTAGCTGTAGCAGACTCAGCATCAGTTCCAGTTAGAATTATTCCGGCCTTTCTGAATCCCGACAGGATAGTTTCAGTTGTCATTTCAGGCTTTGTCAATTCATCCAATGACTTCCAGGAAAGTTACATGGCGCACCCGCCCACTTGCTGTGAAGTTGTGTTCTCGATCCCCGCTTTCCTCCAGTCTCGCCAGTTTCTTGCTCACTTCAATCTTTCTTTCTGCTGCTCGATTACTGTTTTCGGCTGCATAGTTCACTATTTGCAACAAGACAGCGGCTTTTTGTACAGCAGGCATGTGCAGTAGAGTGTGAAGTGACAGTGGTACAGGAGAAACAGTAGTATTAGATATTGACAAACAAGCCTAGAGCCTCTTGCGCCTGTCAGTCTGGAAATTTTAGTATGTAAGTAGCACCAGAGTATAAGTCGCAGGACCACCCAAACCATGAATAAAGTGCAACTTATAGTCCAGAAAATATGGTACTAGCAGTCCACACTGACGTTGTGTCTTTGAGCAACACACATGCCTTAGTGGTCTGTGTAGTTTGTGTTTGTGATTGTGGTATTATCACATATGAATACTAGTTACTTCTGTCAGATAGTGTGCCAGCTTTGTCCTAACAGAAGACCAGAGAGCACAGTGAGCCAGAACAAAAGCCTGGTGATCTCAGGTCACATTGTGTTCACAGCGTACTCATGGTTCTGTTGGCAGAACACTTACGGGGGATAAGGACTTCATTTATTTATTTCATTGTTGTTCATTCTCGTTGCTAACAGCAGGGGGAGCTCCAACGTCTAAATGCCTTACTGGAAACTGAGGTCTAGTTTATAAAGTACGTTTTTAAGAAAACTCACACACACTGTCTCAGTCCTGGCTTTCTTTTATTGAAACAACATTTTGGACCTTCCTCAGACCTTATTAAAGCTACAAGAATGCATAATATGTGTTCTTTAATCCTGCAAAAGTCCTTATGAAGGCCAGAATAATATCCACAAGGTCATTTTGTACTCATCCACTGAAGGGCATCTGGCTTAAATCCATCTTAAAACAACTACACATTTAAGTGAGAATTACAGAAAGTCAAAACAAAGGATGAAGGAAGGAGAATAACTATCCATTTTAGCATGTCTCCTTAACCATTGGCAGAACAATGGCCAATCTGCACTGTTTTAAAATATTTTGACAATTACGATGTCTCAAAAATCACTCTTAAGTTTTCCAGAGTGTTTTTAAACGTGACACAGACACTGTGACAGCTCCTGTCCAGTCAAGTGCCCCAGACTGTCTGGAGAGAGGAGACCACTTCAATCAGCTCAGACCAGTTCATCACACATTACCATGATTACTCCCATTAGAGTGGCCCTCATTTACATATAGTTTAGATAATGTTCTGTGATTGTGCACTTCAAATCAGCTTCAGTGTTAACATGTTAAAGTGACCTGAATTCAAAATATGAAGCGTGATCTGAGCATGTACTTTTGACTTTTTATATTAGACTTAGACAAACTTTATTGATTATTTGGGCACAGTAGCTCACACATCACAATATAATATGATAACAAAGAGTAAAAAATATAAATGGTAATAATAAACTCTAAATAAGTAGCAAAAATTATAGCAAGAGACAGGTGTGAAATAAATCATAATTATGTAAATGTATATGTGCAAGTATACTTGTATACTGTAAGTATATTTGTTTTCATACAGAGCCTTGATTATTGGACATGTTCTGAGATATATACGTGGTTTCAAAACATTGCCTAAACAGATAGTGCAGTAAGAAAATTCTGAATTAAATACTGAAATTTAATACAATTCTAAATATTTTCTTAAAATTAAAACACTAATACATTAAAAAGTAGTGGACAACATTTTTAATCTGTAAAACTGGCCTCCCATAATACAAATATTATAATATTGATTTAGAATATCCAATCCAAGGAATACTAACATCAATGTGAAAGTTATTTCACATTTTAAGTTATACTATTGCTTTATATTTTATTTAATTTTATTTTTCTAAGGTCCATGCTATCCAAATATTGATGAACTGCACAAAAACGTTTACATCAATTTAAAAAAAATTATCATTTTCATTCTTGTCAGGCTAAAAAGCTCCCTAAAGATCTGTACGTGGTGTTTTTGAAGTAATACCATAAAATAGGATTTATATTGAACAAAATGAAGAAGCAAAGAGCTTGTCAAATCACAAATCAAATTATTGAGAAGTAATATGTTTTGGTCTTTAAATTATTCAGTGTCACTTTGTTTAGCTGTTGTTGTTGTTTTTTTTTCCTTATGCAGTGAAGCAGGAGCTGAACTTCCTGGACAAAGACACACAGTTCTACCGTTTCCAGGACTCAGATTTTGGTCTGAACCACGTCACAAACGATAAAGTTGCAGAGGAGGACCTGCAGGAGGCGCTGTCTCTGCTCTCACAGCTGGGCCCTGACGCTTTGCTCACTATGATTCTCCGCAAAAGGTCTGTGCAGCAAAATAACGAATCAATATTTTTCCTCATATTGACTGGTTAAGTTTTTCATTAAATAATATTATTACTTATTAAAAACACAAATGGATTCCAAATTGATTTCCTGAACATTAATAAAACAGACCTATAATCATTGCAATTTAACACAAAAATTGTTAACTCTTCCTCCAAAGTTTGACCTCCTCTCAAAACCACACTTTTATTGCCAGAGAATTGCTTGTCAAAATCTTGATTGAAATTAGAAATGACAGATTAAAACTGTATTACTTGCAAAGCCCTAAGAACAACTACATTTGAAGAAAAAAGACTAATTGATGTATTTGATGAAGGTTGCTTGAGTCAGATTGTGAAGATTAAAGGACTAGGTCACAACATCTTGCTAATAACTTGCTAATGCTGGTTCTATCACATTAAATAGATAAAGTATTTTAAAATATTCCCCTTTGTGTTCAGCCCGAGCCAGAGAAGTGCAGAGGACCTGGAGGTGATTTATGAGGAGCTACTACACGTCAAGGCTGCAGCTCATCTCTCCACCTCAGTCAGTATCACAACTCTACAGTCACCTCCTAGCGATAAAAACATCATAAAAGACATGATTTTTATATTGGTTTGAGGCACGAAAAAGGCCTGTTATGTAAATGAAATTGAGGGCAAGCCAAAATGCTTTTGGAGAATTTCCTGTCATTGATTCGTGGTTAACAACACACAATTACTGGGTCTACATGCAACAGAAACTGAAACAACGATAAGAGCACCTCTCTGAGTTATTTAAGTGGTGTTTATTCCATTACACAAGCGTGGCTGTAGTCACGAGCATTACCGTAATCCATAGAATGTGGAAAAAAAAAAATAATGGACAAAATTTGATCATCATACATAATCACATAAAGAATATGTATTAGATTTAGTTGTGACTAGGCCTGTCATGATATTTACAATATTGCAGAGTTGGGACTTGCAAGTCATGACTAGGACTCGAGTCAGACTTGAGTCACTATTTTTAGGATTGAGATTTGACTTGATAAAATGGACTAAGACTTGGGACTCGACTTGGACTTGAGACCTGTGACTTGAGAAGACTTGTCTTAAACTTTTAAATCTTCACTTTTAAGTCTGAATTTTTTCTTTTCTGATCGTAATGATTCACACGAAGATCTTGTCAAAGACATTTAAAAAGGAAAAATTTAAATTTCTACAACTCTTATGTAAATATACATAAATATGTCATGACTTTTAAAGTACAATTTAATTTAAAGTTCATTTAAATTGCAAAAATCTAAGCTACATTTGTTATTTTGATTTGAAGACATGAAATGACTCAAGCAGACGACTCGGACTTGACTTAGACTTATGGGCCAGTGACTTGAGACTCGACATGGACTTGCCTGTATTTGACTTGGGACTTGACTCGGACTTGAGGTCAAAAACTTGAGACTCACTTGAGACTTGCAAAACAAAGACTTGGTCTCACCTCTGCTACATTGAGTTTTCGTTCAATATATGACAACTAGAACAATATATGGTGCAATAGTGGGGAGGTTTTTGCTATTTCTTATTTTTATTTTATTTTTATGTATTACAGTAAGATTTGAGCTGTAGAGGGATGAAAAAGTGACCCCCACTTATTACTGTTTCTTTCTACCATTCACTGGGTAAAAGAAGGGTCATTGTTATTATTTATCATGATATTTCTTTGTAGCGATAAATTATTTTTTTCAAATTGTCTTGCCTAGTTGTGACATTGCTATATCAACGATCTCTCAAAAGTGCTATTATAGTGTTTTGTTTTAGCCACAAACAAAAAAATATGTTTGGCATCCTTTTTTATCATTTTAGCAAAATTCACATAAATAATAGTTGTATCATAGTTGCTGTTTTGCATCACGTTGTCTAGATGACTTGTTGACTTGTGCTGTGTTTTGTGTTCCAGGTGCGTAAGGAGCTGGCTGCAGTGCTGGTCTTCGAGTCTCATGCCAAATCCGGAACAGTTTGTGAGTGCCTCTGACATTTGAGTGTGTAGAGACATGACACACAGGGAGCTTTATGTGGATCCAGCAGAGCATGTTTCAAAATGCACTACTCTAATTATCTATAACTGTTAAAGGTGCACTGTGTAACCTTTCTAGAAGAGGGTCCATCACTTTGTCTCCATGTTGTTGTTTTTTTTTACTGAAATAATCTCAAGTGGATCACATAAACATACGTGTAATTGAATAAATACAGGATATATTTATTTAATGCCATACTGTGGGACATCTCAGGCAAAGCAATAATGTCACCATGGAGACAAGCAGAAGCTACACAGTGCACCTTTAGGTTTAAAATGTAATCTGGTTGTGGTTTATAAAGTAAATTATATATTAAGATTAGGTAGAGTTAAGTTTGCACCTGCACTTATGAAATTTGGTTTATTTGGTTGATTCCTTAATTTATATCTCGTATTAATTGAAAGAATAGCTATTATAATGACCAACTCTACTACTACAAAACAGCAAAATTGGGATTAACCTGGGACTAAACCCTGGAGCGAAACCTGGATTAGAACAGGGCCTCATCTAGTCAACATAAAGACTAAAACTAACTCAAACCAGGAACAAAGAAAGAGAGAACAAACCTTAGTCATGAGTTTCCAAGTGATACTACATTAGAACCGCTGCCATAGCAATTCAAAATTCCAAACTAAATATTATATCATTTGAATAGCAAGAAGTACTCAAAATAGTGCCTTTGAAGAGGAAACTGACACCGATGAATAAATAGTAATAGCTGTGTTTATTTCTGTGTTTATTCTGTGTTTATTTTGTGTTTGTTTTGATTCAGTGTTCAGCCAGGGAGACAAGGGCACGTCCTGGTACATCATCTGGAAGGGCTCTGTCAACGTCATAACACATGGAAAAGTAAGGATACACAAACGTAACTTAAGTAAAAATACAAATGCTGGAGCAAACAACATTATCACATGAAAAAATCTACTTAAGTAAACATATTAAAGTACTGTACCTCTTTAAAAATGTATTTAAGGAGTAAAAAGTTTAAGTATTTGTACAATTTGTGATCTAATAAAGCTTCAAATATAGTGACTTTGATGATTTTTTTTTTATTTGGATATTTTTATTTGCTCAAATGTGCTAAAATAAACCCCTGAGGCGGTTCAGCAGGTCTCACACTATTAAAAAAAAAAAAAAAACTTTTATTTTTCAGTTCAAAATGTAGTGTAGAAGAAAGAACAGATATATTCTCTCAAATGAAGTGAATAAAAGTAAAAAGTCAGTATATCTAAACATTTTACTTAAGTACAGTATTTTATTATTTTTACTTTCTTAGACTCCACCACTGATTCACTTGTTATATTTAGTCCAGCCATGAAACTAAATATAACTCCTCAAATATTGACTTGTTTGGAGTACTGTAAATGTAAAAGTACTTGTGTTGTATGTAGGGTGTGGTGACTACATTACATGAAGGAGAGGACTTTGGGCAACTGGCCTTGCTAAATGATGCTCCTCGAGCTGCCACCATCATCCTCAGAGAAGACAACTGTCACTTCCTCCGGGTGGACAAGCATGACTTTATACGCATCCTCAAGGTATGGAAGATATGAGGTGGTTCCAGATCATGTACAGGGTTGGGGCTGGGCGATATTGACCAAAATTATTAAAACAATGAAATGGCCCGTATTACACTGTTTTCTGATCTATGTTATAATTTCTTCATCAGAAACATTCCTGGATTTGGGTTTTGTTTCATTCACACTTGTAGTTCTTCTTGCAAACTGAAAATTCAAACATCTATGTTGTGATGTCATGTGTCTGCATTGTGTTTTTAAACTCCATACACTTTCACTAGAATCATTTGGATCATTTCAGCCCTGGAATTCCCTATCTTTACTGAACTAAAGGTAAAAGATAGCTGTTAAGTTGAAAACTACAGCTTCATGACATCACAAGGTGGAACAGAGCATTTTGAGCTTTGGAGATGTAGACAGACTAATAATAAAGGGTTACTCAAGCACAGGGATGGACCTGGACCTAAAACCAATTTGGGACGGTCATTAACGTTGACAGTTGTTTATACAGAGTATACCACCTTGTAGGCGTATGCAGTTTATGCTTGACAATTGGCAAAATATCATTGTAGCACCCTGGGCTGTTAGTACTCCCGACAGCCAGTATACCGGATGGTCGTTCTAGATTTTTCTAGAACGCACAGATTTCCAATCCGCCCCTGCTAAGCATATGTGAATGAAACAAAACACAACTCCAAATATGTTTTTGAGGAGATAATAACATGTCTTAAAGCTTAAAGAGTCAGTTTTGTGTAATATTTACACTTAAATGCATTAGTATCAGATAAATGTGAAATTACTAAAATTACTCTCAAACGTGCAGAAATATCACTGTATAGCCGTGTGTGGAACCTTTTCTACTGTTACAGATAAAATGAGACTAGAAATTATCTCCATTGAGAAACCATAATGTGATGAGTTGTATAGACTTGTTACATCTCATAGATGTACTGTAACATTGTGTGTGTAGGATGTGGAGGCAAACACAGTGCGTCTGGAGGAGCATGGGAAAACTGTTCTGGTCCTGGAGAAGAGCGCAGAGTCCACTGAGCCTGGAGCCGGGGCCAACAGCAAGTAAGACACACTCTATATAACTACTCTATACAACTACTCTACTGAAGTGATTAGAACTAGTTAGAGATAAAGCTTTACAGGGGAAAGGTGTTCTAAAATCTCTAAGTAAGAGTACTGTATACTAAAGGAGTACTAAATATATACATTTCTTACAGATTTGAAATAGGTGATTATTTGAATATACAATTATGTGAATATGCCAGTAAACAACAAATATTGAATAATTTATTCATGGAAAATTAGGAAAAGTACATTTGTTACTTAAGGATGGACGATATATCAATTCAAATGTCGGTATCGGTGATATCGAATGGACTTTTTTCAGCTATCAGTCACACCAACCAACAGTGTTGTGCAAGTTCACACTTTTCATGAACTAGTTCAAAGTTCAGTTCACACTTGTTCAAAGTGAATAGTTCATGTTCATAGTTCACAATTTTAATTGAACTAGCTCAAAGTTCAGTTCATTTTATATTTAGATGAGATCTGTAAATGAAAGGCTGCATTTATCTTTCAAACTGACTTCTAGTTTACAACAACTTTACAAGATTACACTGTTGGACAAGTGACTTTAAAACTGTAATGTGTTATTTATGACTTGTTACTGTCATTTCAAAGTCATTTGTTACATTACAATATTACTGTATTTAAAATGTAAAACATTATATGACTATTGCAGCACTTTTAATTTACTCTCACCAAAAGAACTGTTAAGATGCTGAACTTTTGCACCGTATATGGACTGAACCAGGACTAAACCAGGTCTAAACCAGGTCTAAACCAGGACTAAACCAGGACTAAACCAGGTCTAAACCAGGTAAACCAGGTCTAAACCAGGACTGAACCAGGTCTAAACCAGGACTAAACCAGGTCTATACCAGACTGAACCAGGACTAAACCAGGTAACCAGGTCTAAACCAGAACTGAACCAGGACTGAACCAGGATTGAACCAGGACTGAACCAGGACTAAACCAGGTCTAAACCAAGACTAAACCAGGACCAAACCAGGACTAATCCTGGACTAGAACTTGGAATCTAGGACCGCCCCTGAGAGAACCCCGAGTGCGATCGGGCATCAGCTGCGTTTATCTCGGTGGAGCGCGGACTTCTGCGTCGGTCCTTTCGCTCAGGATCACGGTCTACGCGGGCGCACCTCCGGCGTTTCACCGCTGCTGATATCGCGGTGATTTTAGCAAATATGTATGAAGAAAACGAAAAACCCACCATTTCAATCCAGGTAAAAAAAGCATTGTGACGCGCATTACTGACATTTGTACCAAGTAAAATAATAAGCGCGCGGAGCAGCACGTCCTGTGCGTGTAGATTTCAGAAAATAGGATCCATTCAATTTTTTGACGCTCTACACGAGCGTAGGCGCGTATCCCCGTCAAAATACACAGAGAGCATGTATCTATTGTTGTATTTGTGCATTTACCATCAGCACATTGTGCTCCTGGGCAGTTCTGTATCATGTGAAAGAGCCCAGATCCACATAGGCTGTTAATTAGTGCTTTGAAATTTACTTTTGAAATCCTTGCGTTTGCCGTGGTCAGCCTGTACAGAAGGTAAACACAAGCAGCTAAACGCGCCCAGTCAAGTTTGATTGACTTCTCATTGAGAGACACAAGAGCCCGTACGTTCCGCTAAAGCTGCCGGTTTCGCGAGGTGAAGTGCGAGCAGATCGTCACTCGTCAGGTGCAAACAAATTCCGACGAACCCCAACAGTGACGTACGTCGTTCATCACACATAATTTGAACAAATTCACGTTCAAGTTCTTGATTTACAAAAGTGTTGCGTTCAGTTCAAAGTTCACTGAAAAATGAACGTGTTCAATGAACGCGTTCATTTGAACTCGTTCATGCACAACACTGCCAACCAAGTACATGTCTATAACTCCCCAAATATTGACTTGTATTGTGTCAACATGAATGTGCTGTGTCCATTATTTGAACCATTTCTTTGCCATTATTATTATTGTTGTCATTGTAAAATTAGCTTCGTCCATATCACAGTATAAACACGGACTTAGGCCCTGCTTATGTAATGACCATCAGCGCTAAAGGGTTTCCACAAACACTAAAGTGAGGGTTATATTGTCCTTTATTAATTTTGCTGTCACTACCTTCAGGAGCTATGAGACTTTCATGGACTTTCCAGGGTTCACTATGATGTTTATGAAGCAAATATTAGGTAATGTTCTTTGTCACATTAACAGTGGCAAATGTGATATAAATTTACAAGTATGATCTCGTGCCATGAGATACTGTGAGATAAAACTGCCTCAAGATTGTGCACACAGTTATCTAGTGGGATTTCTTTCACCATGTTTTCACATTCACCTTGAACAAAAAGCTGTGGTTCCAAAAAGCAGTAATTCAATGACAGCAAAACTAAGCATGCACTGAGCTTTTACTGCTTACTACTGGAGAATTGCACCGATACTGAAAAAAATTGCTGGATCTGATATTGGCTTCCAAATATCAATTCAGCCAATATCCTGGTTGGACATATCATTCGATGTAATAAAACTATTTACTGGTCATAGTTTGCCCAGAAAGTCTCATAATGTTTAAACTTTTATTTACACAAAGTTGTTCTGTAGTAACATCAGAGATAAATAACAGCTACAGAACACAACAAGGATATTGTGCAATTGCAATTATATATTTCTACAAATGTAACCAAAGGCAGTTTACAATTTCTTAAATAATAGCATATGTTAAGAATGAAAATGTAAAGAGCTTCCACCATTTGAAAGACAAGCAGTCCCTGTTGTGACTTAGATTAAATCAGTTGAAATTGTAATCATTCACTGTGTGCCAAAAAATCTATTATTTTTTTGGCCATATCAGCCAGCTCTATAAAACATGAAGAAAGACTCAATTCATAATGAAGAAATACTTCATTTATAATTGGCAAAGGAGAAATTCAGTTTGTCGACTGGACAAAAGTTTATTTGGTCAAATACGTTTCGCAGCTCATCCAGAAACATATTCGTCCAAATAAACTTTTTTCCAGTCAACAAACTGAATTTCTCCTTTGCCATGGATTCTACCTGGGCGACTGAGGGATTTATCACACTTCATTTATAGTTATTTACATATTACGTACAGTTTTTCAAAGTTCTTATACTGGTGAAGGAAAGATGGTAATAAAAAAAGTATATTATTCATTCAAATATTATTATTGATCTTTGTGTTATTTAGGTACACTGTGATGTCCGGAACTCCTGAGAAAATCCTGGAACACCTTTTGGAAACTCTAAAGTTGGACTCTTCATATGATGCTATAGGTGAGGTACCTTTTTTTTTTTTATGATACAAAAAGTTTAACTAAAACATGAGATAAAAAATAAAATAAAATCTGGCCTGATCAAGCTTTTCTCAAGATCTGGATATGGGTCCTAACACTGCTGACAGGTTGCCCCAGCAGCACTGAAGGGTCAAATGCAGAGGACAGTAAAGTGTACCTTAGCCTTAATTATATATTTTACCGGTTTGTTTTTCTCCACAGATCCATGTGTGAGTGACTTTCTGCTCACTCATAAGGTCTTCATGCCCTCCAGTCAGCTGTGTCCTGCTCTACAGCACCAATATCCTGCACCACCCAATGAGCTGATAACAGGCTGATAAAGATAAGACCAAGCTACCACATAACAGACACATTTACATAAGAATACAGGCTCCATAAAACTATAGCTGAATGATTATTGTGTGATTCACTAGATTTTTAACATGTTTACAAAGTGAGAAGGAATGAGGAAGTACAATGCAGTCATAACAAACCTTCATAACAGTTAATAATTATCACTAATAAAAAGCATTCATGTGATTCTAATGAGCTCCTAAAAGCACAGTTAAATGATGTGACTTTAATCTAAGAGATATGATTTTGAACCTTCTTCTATTGATACGTTGAATACAGTGACATCGCCCTGGGGGTGTCCTACACATATCTCTAGGGTGGAATGTTTAGGAGTTACTATGGTGGCACAATACACACAGAGCAGAGCCTACATTAGTTTTTTTTTGTGTGTTGAAATGGCCAAAATTTTATGTACCATATTTTTTGGACTATAGTCACTCCAAAAAATGCATAATGAAGAAGAAAAAAACATACATATGTCACGCCGGACTATAAGTTGCACTTTTTAGGGGAAAATTATTTAATAAAATTAGACATCAGGAACCAACATTTCATTCTGAAAAGCAAGTTATAGTAATAACAATAGAACAGAGAACAACAGGCTGTTAATGTCATTTATGAACAGTTCTTCAGATAAACTATAGCATAAACAACAGAACAAGTTTACCAAACTCTTCACCTCACTCCAAATCACTAAATCCATTGAATTCTTCATGCCCAGTGTCACTTCTGAGCAACTCCGCAACCTCCGGAAGTAACCAGAGCCCCGGTTCCTCTTCTGCGTAGCTGTCATCAGACTCAGCATCAGTTCCAGTTACAATTATTCCGGCATTTCTGAATCCCGACAGGATGGTTTTGGTTGTCACTGAAGTCCAGGCTTTGTCGAGCAGAACAGCCGCTTTTTCTGCAGGAGACGAGCGCAGTAGAGCCAAGTGACAGTTGTACAGGAGTAATAGGAGCAGCAGATACTGACACACAAGACTAGAGCACCGTCTCGCGGTTATCAGTGTGAAAATTTTAATATATAAGTTGCACTGGAGTGTAAGTCGCAGGTAACACCCAATGAAAAAAAAAGTGACTTACAGTCTGAAAAATATGGTATAAACTATACCTTTAATAAAGGAATCTATAATGCCCCCCCTTCCCCCCCCAAAAAACAACATTTTCAGAAACAACCATTTAGAAACATCCTGGACTATGTTGGGACTAAATTTTTTATTTATTTATTTTCCATAGACCTTGATTCAAAATATATGTGAATACTGTGTATGCTTCAGTCTTTTCATTACTTGATGGTCCTTAACGTAGTATCCACTTACCAAACTGGGCTCTCAGAAGGCTCAGAGCAAGAGAAAGCTGCCTATGTCCTTCTCAAGAAGCAGAAGATAGTGAAGCTGGTTGGCCAGTGGGTGGCGCTGTACGGACTGATGCTCAAAGAGGACCCCATTGCTCTGGACTTTCTGGAGGTAAGATGTCTTGAATTGATATTAGAGTATAGGCTTAATAGCAAAATCTGGATTAATTGTGATTATTTTTTCATTTGAATAGGGTCTAAGAAAGGAGGTAGCTGCTGACTATCGCCTATCCAGTATTCTAAAGGAATTCCGAGAGAAAAGGAGGACCAAAATGTAAATTGTATACATTTAAAAGTCCACAGACTGTAACATAACTATTTAATGCTTCTGGTTTTTCCTCATATACTGTTCCATCTTTTCTTTTACAGATTGGAAAATGGCTACCAGTCTCTTGGCAGGGTGAGAGCATTTTTTTCATAGTTACAACATATATAGTTTTGTTGACATTACACAATATGCTGTGTACATACTGTATTTTGTACTTATTGTTTTGTTGACAGTTTAAATTTTTCTCTTGTGTCTTTGGTGTCTGTAGCAGAACCACCAATTTGACTGGTTTTCAAACTGTGAGGAGCCCAATGGAAGGTTACAGGCAATCAAAGCAAAGGATAAAGGTAAAGAATGTTATTGAACAGACAAAACAGATCTTATATTACACAAAACTGACTATTGTGAGCTTTATGTCATGCTATAATGTTGTTACCTCCTCTAAAACATACCCAAAGTTGTGTTTTGTTTGATTCACGCATGCTTGATTAATCCTGCATTATTAGTCTGTTTACATCTCCAAAACTCAAAATGCTCTGTTCCACCTTCTGATGTCATGTGGTAGTTTTCAAATTAACTGCTCCTTTTACCTTTTGTTGGAGATTGGCAGTTTCAGGGCTAAAATTATCAGAATGATTGTTGTGAAAGTGTATGGAGTTTAAAAATACAGTGGAGCACTTCCTGTATTACCACATGACATCGCAAGGTGGAAGAGGGTGTTTTCAGTTTGAGAGAAGAATTTATGATAAATATGCAGGATTTGTGTTTTAAACATATGTGAATGAAACAAAACACAACTCAGGGAAGGTTTGTAATGAGGAAACAACATTATAACATTGAACAGAAAATGAAAAGAGTAACTTAGCCTTGTTCTATAAAGGACAGAGGACATTTTTCAATATTTATCATGTTTTCTTTGCACTTCTGGGATTTACTTTTTATACTACGACTATACTAAGATTTTCTGTATATATCACACTTAATTGTGTCATCATGACAGGACTATAGGAACAGTAAAAATACTACCTGGTTCACACTTTTCACTGTTTTCCCCAGTGTTGTACGAGATCTACCAGCCGGACCACAAAGCTCTGACTGTGATGCTCTCAGTGAGTTCCTCTGTGCAGGAAGTGATGTCAGCTGTGAAAAAACCTGACTCTGATCATGTTCTGGTCAAAATGAACTCTGCTGGAGGTGAGCTGATCTCATAAAGCTCTGCATGTAAATTCTAGCTGCATATTTGATTTGGTGAGGAGTGGAAGGAGTATTGAGAATGTATAGTTACAGCTACATGGTGCCAGAATTGTAAAAGTAAAAGTACAAAATATGCACAAAAAATGTTAGATCATCTTTTCTCATTCAAAGTGGCTGTATATAATGCATGTAGTTCTCTGGTAAAGGGTCCAAAACCTGTTCTCCATGAAGATGTTGTTATGTTGTTATATTATCAGAGAGACAGACAGCCAAACCAAGTATTACTAACCAAGTATTAGTATTATTTATAATAGAAACTCTGCTCTAAGTACTATGTATTATCAGTGGGTTATTGAAATTGGTACTGAGTATCAAGTCTATTCTTTAGTCTGTCATTTTAATCCTGTGGAAAACACCATGACACTATAGTCTGTGTATATACTGTATGTACTGTATATGTTCTATGGACAACACTAGCCCACGAACACCAAAACAGGACGCACTAGCCGTAGCTGGAATTCGGAAATAATAGATTGTTTATTTTATTTTGTCTATATTTTGTTTATATTCTGTTAAATTCCTTCAGAGAGAGCCCAGCTGAAGCTCGACTCCACTGCAGTGTTCACCGCCTTGGGGCTGAATGAGAGACTGTTCATTTGTACGAGCAGTCAGGTGGAACAGCTGGTGAGGAGAGGATCATTTCTCTGGATGCTGTGCTGGTAATGAAGTGGAAACATTATATTGATTGTGTTTTGTGCCACAGCGCCCCCTAAAGGAGCAGCTGGGGCCAGAGCAAGGCACAGCAGACGCACTGGAGCAGATGAGCTCCAAAGACATCGCCAATGAACTCATCAGTTATGATTGGGAGCTGTTCACTGCCATGCACGAGGTAACTGCACATGTCACACTGTGATATTATGAAGCTACTTTATTAATAGGTTTGATTTATATTGATTAAGACTGAATACAACTTGACTTCATTAAGTTAACATTCAAGAATTTTGAGTAATCATTTCAGATGGAGAGTAGAGGAACAAATACAACTCTAAAGGAGGAATATTGTTTTTGAAATATCAGTCAGGACTGAAATCCTCACCACAAGAACAGTTTCTTCCTCTGAACTGGACTCCCTGTACTCAAGACAGTTACAGGGGATGTCCCAGAGTATTTTAAAAGACGTGCAACAGCCACTAAATTCAGAGTTTCAGCTGTTTCCCTCTGGTCAGATGCTTTTAGTCCCAATATCTAGAACAAATCGTTTTAAAAGGAGCTTTGTTCCGGCGACTATCATACGCTGGATTGTTGGCGTGTTTGCAGTGACTCAGTTGTTCAATTGTGGCTGGAAGTGGCACATTGCACGGTCGCTGTCTGCTCCATGCGTGTTTGCATGTGCTGAGGGTGGTGCAGCTTTGTAGTTTACTGAAGTCGTGCTTGGACACCTGAGTGGATTCATGTATAGGGCGCTCTGGATTGCGGGGCGCGCAGTCGTTTTTTGATGGGGTTGGAGCGTGCCCTGTAGTGCGGAAAATACGGTATCTAAAAATGTTGTGTTTTTTTTAAATATATTTTAATATTTATTGCAATTTTAGCAAAGTATGATGGATGAATTTAACTAATTGTTTATGGAACAAACCATTCTTCACTGGAACACTGTAACACTTTATTTTATACATATTTATTGCACATAATGTGGATGAATGAAATGTGAAATGTGGGACCAGCCTCTCAAATCTGCAAAACAACTTTACCTATGAGTATGAATAAAGCAACCTAACCTAACCTAACCTGAACACTTTATAACATCCGTCACTTTCAACAAGTCACTTCAACATTACTTCAGCTATTTTCCACTGCTGTTGTTCTGTCCATGTTGGATGTTTTAGTATTTATATTCAGCCTATTTTTATCTAACATCTTTTTGTTTGCATGTGTTTATTTTTATTTGATCATAATTTATATGATCTAATATACAAAAAAACTGATTGTGATTCTAATGTACAAAACCACATATATCATGTCAGTGTTTGTGCCTGAATAATGCCACATCTTCTTGAGGCTATAGAAAAAATATATACCTCAGCTCATTTGTCCTGACACAAAAGACACAATGGCCAATTTAGAAAGTTATGTGAGCCCAACCTAGTATTACTGAAACCCATATTAACCACAATGCTCTCCAAAGACTTTCTAAATAGCCCTTTGTCCCTCTCTGCGCAGGTGGAGCTGGTTTACTACGTCTTTGGGCGACATAAATTCAATGGGTCCATCACGGCGAACCTGGAGCGGTGTGTGCGGCGCTTTAATGAGGTCCAGTACTGGGTGGTGACGGAGCTGTGCCTGTGTGAAGACCTGGTCAAAAGAGCCATTTTACTCAAGAAGTTCATCAAAATAGCAGCTGTGTAAGAAACATGTCACGCTGAGTACACCAATGAGGCTGAACAATGTGACTACTGATAAGAACTGTGGTGAAGAATATATAGTTTACATATACATTATTAATATTGTTTAAAGAAGACATAATTGGCTAAATCGATCTGGGCGCTCTGGTTTCCCCCATCAACTCTAAGCATGCACAGTAGGTACGATCATCTTTGAGTTAAGGTAGTCTTGATCAAACCTACCTCAAGATCTGGAGATGGGTCCTACTCCTGGCAGTGGAAGGATGGGTCAAATGCAGGGACAGTAAAGTGTACCTGATCTTAAAGGCGCATTGTATAACTTTTCTGGTGGAGGGTCCGTCAAATGGTTTTCTCCACGGAGATGTTATTGCTTTGTCTGGAATGTTTCACAGTATGGTATTAAACCTTTCTATCCTTATGGAGAGCAAACCAGACTAAGTTATCGGTCAACTCTGTGGAGAGGCGACCCCACTCACAGTCTTTGTTTTTCTAGGTATTTCTGAGCAGTAAAGCCACCTGTAATTGAATAAATGTAAAGAAGTAGTGTTTAATGACATACTGTGGAACATTCCAGGCAAAACAATAACATATCCATGGAAACAAAGACCACCAGACAAGTTGCACAGTGCACCTTTAATTCCGAGATTTCACAGAGGCCAAAGCAGTAATGAGTTTTTGAAGTTATTTGTTTGCTATGGTGCACTGCCGCTATGAAGAGGCCTGGGTTTTGCTGTTTTGAGCAGGAAGGCAATGGTCCCATTTCTATTTTTATGTCGTTTCAGATCAATATTGCTGTTTACAATGAACAAAATGTAAAATGATCCGCCTGTTATTTAGGGTTGAATATAGACAGCAAGAGACTGTTGACGACATTAACAGAAATACTTGAAATGGTTATGGTCATAATGTGATTGTTGGTTATGAATACTCTTGGTAAATACTGGGTTTTCATCTCTAATATAAACACTTTTTTCTGTCTTTCACAGGTTAAAAGAGCAGAGGAATCTGAACTCATTTTTTGCTGTTATGTTTGGTTTGAACAACAGTGCGGTGCAAAGGCTTCACAAAACCTGGGAGGTAAGAGCCACTCATACAATGATGTCATCAGTTACAGTTTACTCATTAAATAAAACTAATATGTACTTTCTGATTATAGCGAATACCCAGCAAAATAAAAAGAGTTTACTGCCACTATGAAAGATTAATGGTGAGTTCTATTTTTGCATTGAAAACATATTTGTAATTAGTAAGTAGTGGTAGATAAAATGTTTAGTGTATTGACCTTAAATGTCCAGCAGAGGCCGATATTGAGTTTGGACCAACCAGCAGCGTAAAAATATGCATAAAGAACATGCCTGAAGTGTTATTTGAACACTTGAGTCCAAAGAGTGTACTTCAGAAATGTGAATACACTGCTCTCTTGTTCATTTAAAAATAGTTAAACAAGGTTGTGGCTGTACTAAATTTAAATGTGATAATTTGAGGGAAATTACCTAAATTGACCCTGCATATCGGCAGAGCTTATCAGCCATCAGTTTCTCTTGAAAAAAAGTCGCCATTGACCAGGAAAAAAACAACAACATATTGGTCAATCTTTAATAAAAATACTTACTTTATTTACATTTTTACATTTCATTTATTTGTGTTATTTCTTCTTTATGCTCAGAACCCATCTCGTAACCACAGAGCGTACAGACTCGCCGTGGCTAAACTCAGTCCTCCTTACATCCCTTTTATGCCTCTGCTCCTTAAAGGTACCATTAAATATACAAAATATAATATTTGTTTTTACATCAAATATTTTCTTTTTTTTCTGTGATTGTTTTAACCTTGGTTTCTTCAATCCAGATATGACATTTATCCATGAAGGGAATCCTAACTGCATCGACAAGCTGGTGAACTTTGAGAAAATGGTATGATCAAATGATGTGTTTTGAATAGCTGTTTTATCTAAAATGTAATAATTATGTTGTTTATATCACTTAATATGTTGTTTATTTTAGCGCATGATTGCCAAGACGATGAAGATAGTCCGAGGATGCAGGAGTCAGCCTTATGGTAAGATTATTTTTTTTACTCTGACTTATGATTTTGTGCTGGTTTAATTACATACATTCAGAATTTAAAATAGTAAGATGTATATGTCATTTTTGCAGTGCCTTCATCTCCACAGAGAGGTCTAGCAGATCGAATGTTTCTAGATGGGCCTGCCAATCGGATATCTACGTGTAAGGAGTATTTTCTATGCTTGTGGTTGTTGTTTTTTTTTTACCTACACCCTATTTCCACCCACTTCTCTGTGATCCAGGTCATGCAAATGTCACAAAGCCCTTTCTTCAGCTATAAATAGACCTAACTGAAAATATGCTGCTTACTATGATAAAATGCCACAATGAAGGCAGGCTCAGCAGTTTTGAACAGGAAGTCAATGCACCCATTTGTATTATTCAAGCGTTTTAGAAGAATATTGTGGTTTACAATGAACAAAATTTCAAATGGAATTTCACCTAAGGAAGATGAATAAGATTATCCATTTGCATAAAGATGAAATAATGTGGAATTGTCTTTTCAGACTCAGAACTTGCCCACCCTCTGAGGACGCCTAGTAACATCAGACACTACGTCCTGAACCTGAAGGTGATTGACAACCAGCGCAGACTCACCCAGCTGTCCAGGACCCTCGAGAGCTAGAGGACTCTCACATGAGGACTTTTACACAAGAGACTCTCTTTTAATATGGATGTATTCAGACTGAAGCAGATCACCACTGCACATGTGGACAGCAGACACACACAGCAGGAGGGCTGTGTCACACCCGCTGTGAACTTACTTTACTTATACATTTGAGTATAAATCTACAGTGTGTTGTTCTATAGAGCAAAAAGTAATATGTAGATAAGTTACTGACTTGAATCTGAGTAGCTCTCAGTTACTGCTGGATTTACAAAGACAGTGCATCTTTTTTTGACTGGCTATTTCTTTGCATGACAAGTCAAAGCTACTAAAATTAAAATGAAATACTCAAAATTCAAGAAAAACATACCTGTATATTACATTTTGCTGATGATGAATGAAACATCATACAGCTTCATTACATTTTTGTACCTATGTATATTATGTATATACTAGTATTTTATCAGCACTTTGGCTATAAAAACCACTAAGTGGCATGCTTGTAATTTGATATGAATTTTATAAATAAATTATTTTCACTGACTGATAAGTAAAGCAAAGACAACTTTTAAAAATGGAAATACTTTATTAAACAAACACGTAACAACTGACTTCCAAAGAGCCCATTTCATCCCCCCAACAAACATGATGTCCCCAATATGGGGTGAAAAATTCACAACAACTTAGTTAGCATTCGAATCCAAATACTCTCCTTGTCATAAATATGTACAACTTCTTTTGAAAGTCAGAGAGAACTAGAAAAATGGGCCACAACATGAACAAGAAAAACCCAGTGCTTTCTCCTGAAGTAACCACGGTGGAGTGAGTCCCATTCAGAGTCAACACAATATAATTCTTTAACCAGACTGTCTTAAAAGGTTATTATGGAAATAGTCCCATTGCTTTTCTGATGTCCAGGCTTGTTATAGACAGATGTCTAGCTACAGGACAAATGCATGTTTGTCTAATAGTATTCACTGGTACACTCTGGACACAGAGAACTTAAATTACCCAGTTACTGCTAAACACAGTTTGGAGTCAGTCTTGGGAATAGGAGAAATGGACCAGAAATGTGCTCAAACGTGTGAAATCTTAGTAGTAAGTGTGGCACTCCTGCTGTTGGCTTGGTGAGAGTACAGTAAGTGAAAGCACAAACCCACACACTCTGCTCCATCAGAAATAAAAGCAGTCACAAATAAAACTCACTGTAATGAAACAAAGGTGAATATAAATATTGCACTTTCAAACTACATCGTGTTCCCAGTGCCAGTACATGATCCCTTTGAGGTACAAAGTCACTCTACAAAAACATGCTTGCACTAGTTTAAAGTGCCTATGACAGGTCAGACTACTCCTTTTACTAGAAGACCGTTAAGATCATTATTATATTTAAAATTTTCCTAAATCATAACATCGTACTGAGGAATACCATAGTTGTTATTTAGCACTCATGTACACTGGGCCAAACTCCTAAAACGTACACAGAAATGGTTATTTGACAAATAAAAATATATTTTGTTGAAATAATAGTATTTCTTACATGTAAATTGTGCTGAACATTTCCATAGAATTCTCTCTAGCATGATGTCCACAAAAACACTTTTCTGTAATTTTCAACATATTTTTCAAATTTTCTTCACAAATTACTTCTTGGTGTAAAAAAACCAAAAACAGGTATTATCCCATTTAAGTCTGTAAAAATCATAGAAAACCCTAAAAATCAGTCATACGCACTTTAAAAATCGAATTGTTGTGAAGTTTGGAGGGATGAACGCAGCACTGGGAAGGCCACTCATACTGACACACTCATAAATACACCACTCACACAAATGCATTTGAATACAGTCTCTCATTTCAAACACACAACCCGCTAACAGTATTTACATTAAGGCACTCAACAAATCTTTAGGATGAATTAAAGTCTATGTCCCTGGAGCCGTTTTGGTGACTTTAACAAATGTAGTTGTCTTAAAGGCGCACTATGTAACTTTACTGGTATGGATCCACTAGTTGCTTGTCTCCATGGGGATGTTATTGCCTGGAATGTTCCACAATATACCAATCCATTAAGTTATCTAGCATTTATTTCATTATGGATGTTTTATTGCTCGAAAAATAGCCTGAAAACATTTATTCTTACTGTGAGTGAGTCCCCAGATCTACTTGTTTCCATGAAGATAACTTACTTAAATGCCATACTGTGCAACTTTCAAGTCTAAAGCAATAACTTCTCAAACTAGTTGCAGACCCACTAATAGAAAAGTTACATAGTGTGTCTCAATGGGTGACTAAAATACAGTAAGTCAGTGAGCTCCTGAGGACTGGTGATGCTACAGCGCTGCTCCTGATTGTCTTGTCTTTGGTTCTCCTTGATAATCTATGGCTATACTTCCTGGTCCTGGGTCATTTGAGACATTTGTTGGCATTAGGGCTACAGTATATCACAATTACAATGGTTGCAATTAGCAAATCTCAAAGAAGACTGCAATTGTTTGAGTAACAATTCCCTGTATAAACAAAAAAACATTGTGTCTAATCATGTCTAAAAGCTGCTTATCTGTAAGTTTAAACCTCTACAAACATGTTCTGAAAGGCATTCTTAGATTAGATTTCAGTCTTCTTTCAAATGTGAATGCTCCTGGACGGATTTAAAATGTGGACTTTGAACAGAAATTTAAAAAACTGCAAAACTAATCGCAATTCCAAAATTGTTCAGCCCTACTCAACACATATATCATTACTTTTGCATTTCGATAGAGTCAAAATTGCTCCCGCTGTTTTCAATGAGGTTCTCAGGTGGTCAGGAGTGGTCCAGTCTCTTCCCAGTTGTCATTAGCAACAGCCACTGCAGCATTTGTACAGCGCAGAGTCCGGACATCAAAGGAAGGAGTCAGTCTTTGGGTCTAACATCAGTAGATTTCCTTTGAGTCCATCTCCGCCTACACTGTCCACCAACCTGAGCCGTATTTCACTGCCCTGCACGAGTCGGTTCAATACAGAGGTGGCCGATATATCAAAAAATGGATATCGCAATGATAAGCGTAGTTAGAATATTTTTAAGAATTACATTTAAGAGAGACAAAAACATATAGTGTATTCTCCCAAATAAGGGTATAAAGAGATACCACTGTTGTCTTATTTTTGCTTCCATAATTTTTTAGAAGCTTCAAAGTTATTATTTGTTGCACTTATTTAAAATTTTGGTAAGAAGTACTTTCAAAACACATATATTTGCTACAGTGAATGGTTCAGCACTTTAACTTTTACTGGACTAATATTTGACCTGGTATATCTGCACTCTTAAAATAATCAAATGCAGTATTTTAGCACAAAATAGTCTGATTATTGTTATCGAGAATGTATAATCAATCGAGATATACATTTTTGTCAATATCGCCCACCTCTAGTTCAATCCTGAAGTTAAAAATCTGTAATCGTGAGTACACAGCTCTGGTATACAGCGCTATAGGGTCCATATCCGTCTTATATGTCCACTATTCTCCTGACAGTGGACACAGCAGTTCAAGCACCAAAGGCAATTACAGGTGGTTTAAAATTTGTCCCAGAAAAAAAAAAACAACACAAAAATCAGACGTTATGTATCTTCTGAAATCCACGTATTCGTCAAGACGGTGGACTACAGTTCTTCAGTCACTTCTTTGTAATTCTCCATAGTTGTTTTGTAACACTGATATAAATGTCTGTTTGTTTTCAGTCCCAAAAAGTCAGATAAAAACATAAATAACATGAAAAAAAAACATTCATTTGGTTTGGAGATCTTTGGATTGTTGTTTAGTGCAGCACAATGGAGTTCCAGTGGTCTCTCTTCTTTCTTTCCTTCTGTCTTCCGCTATCACGCTCTCGTTCTCCCTCTTCCAATCCATCTCTTCGTTGCAATCATAAGGCCAGGTATTGTGGTTCTCGTACAGGACGATCAAACGCTTTAAGCCTCTGATGCAGCCTGTGGTTTGAGCTGTGCCTTCTCCATCGCGGTGCCGTAGGGAACCGATCTCTTGAAGAAACCCAACTGCAAGATTCAAGAAACATAAAGTATGTGTGTTAAAAATGCATTAGGTTAGACTTCTCAACTCATTAAAACATAATTAACATCATTTTATTTAAGGATTTACTAAAAACCTTGCATAGTTTTTTGTTTTATTTTTATTTTGGTAGTACAGTTGTCCCTCTCTATATTGCAGTTCACCTTTGTTGCTGTTTCGCAGATTTTTTTGCATGTTTTTTTTTTTTTTTTTTTTTTACAGCGTATGGCCACTATTGTGTTTCTCCCCCTGCGTCCTGATTGGCTAAGGGATTGTAGACCATTGTCAATCAATCTCCTCAGTGTCGTGTCTCCTGTATAGTACAGAATGCGTTCAGCTTCTCAAATTTAAGTAAATGTTCGATCACTAGCAGTGTGATTCTGAAGTGCAGCGAGATCGGGCAATTGCCACGCTTACAGTGAGGTGCGGAGCTCTCCCTCAGTCCTTTCTCCTGTGGTCACCTCTGAGCCTTAGTCCTGTTTTAGTCCTAGTTCAGTCCTGGTTTAGTCCTCCTCTTCAGTCCTGGAATCTGTCCTAGGTTAGTCCTGGGTTAGTCCTGGTTTAGTCTTGGTCCGTGGAGTATGCAGCGCAAAAGTTTGATATAATCTCAGGTTAACAGGCGGGTGCGGTGCTGTACTGCGCGGGTGTGAGTCTCCAAAAATGGACCCGTGCAGGACTCTGCGCTGTAGTGCTCCATTACGGAATAAATTAATCTTCGGTTCATTACATAAAGAAGGAGGAAAATAACATAAGGACGACAGCAGCAATAAGTTTTAAGAAGGATGCAAAAAGGGTTGGAACTGTCCTGTGTGAGAAAAGTGTATAAAGTGTGTGCTGAGGGGTTTTACAGACTTAAAACAGATATAATATTTGTAAAATACAAAGCTGACTACTTCACGGATTTCACCTATCGCAGGTTATTTTTAGAATGTTACCCCTGCGATGAACGAGGGACCACTGTATTCAGTAAGTACTGTATTGATACCTTGCAGCTGATGTCATCAGCATTCTCTGGGGATATGATGCTAACTGTATGCATGCTCTGTCTGAGGCTTTGTTAGACTTTGTGCTTTATCTAACCCAGGGGTCATCAAACTCTGGCCCGTCATGCCCCTCTGTCCCCAACCACTTGAACTGGCCCTATGAGGTAATCCTAAAAAAGTAGTCATTGCCTTTTTTTTATTATTATTATTATTATAACTTTTTGGCAAATAACATCTGAATCTTGTATTTTGTTGATTTATGTATTTTTTTTAATTAACAAGTGATATTTATATGAAGTGTTTATATTTATATTTAAATAATTATATGACGTATTTACATTTGTCGCAAAATTTTCATCACCTGACAAGCTCGAGATTAAACAATGACAGTCAATGCACACGCAGAGTTCTGTAGTGCAGTTAAGGACAGTAAAATGGTGAGTGTTAAAGTACGAAACATTGACAGAGAGTCCCGAGTTTTCAAAGAACAGTGGACAACCGATTATTTTTTTGTTCAGTGTAACGACCATACAGTTTGTCTGATATGTGAAGAAAGTGTGGCGATTTTCAAAGAATATAATCTGCGTTATCGGGGTCATAACCTACAATTCTGTTACACGGCCAACCCGACCCCGACCCCGGCCCCCATCACAGTCAGTAGCGATAATGTGGCCCCCAGAGCCAGTTTGGTGACCCCCGATCTAACCAGAAAGAACTGACTTAGCTAGAACTACAACATGTCAGACGATTTTACTGTTAACAAGCCACTTTCAAATAAAATGAGTAGCCTACCAAGCAGCTGTTACTACCCCACCAAATCAAATAATAAAACTTGTTTGCTTGGCCACACTTTAATGTGCGTTTTTACTGTCTTCAAATATACTTAAAATAGATTATAGGTCAGTGTAGCTGTAGTAGTAGTAGTAGTTGTTGTTGTGGTAGTAGCAGTTTTACTTTGAAAGAAAAAAATTGGTTGTTGAAGTTGATTGAAGCATAATTTTCTTAGTAAACCAGAAATTATAAATGAAGAAACCCAACTGCAAAATTAAAGAAGGATGGATTACGTGAGTCTAAACATGTTTAACCGGAAAATGCAGGGTCTAATGAGTTGTAATGTTTTGTATGTTTTCATTCAGAGCAGAACTGACCTTGTATAAGATGTAAATGAGCAGAGCCAGCAGGAGAAGTCCAACTAAAACAGCCAGAATAATGATCCAAAGAGGAACTGAGTTTTCAATATCAGGCTTGTTCCATACCACTGGAGTCACCACCTACAGGGAGATTGGAGAAAGATATTTATTAAGGCATAACATTGGCAATCTCATGTTGTAGCAATCACAGTGCAATTTATTCTATACATTTATATCCTGTTGAGTTAAAGATGCGTGGTTTTGTTGAGGGAGCATAATAAAAAGCAATAACGAAGCAAATGATTGTGGTCTAAGTATAAAAACTTCATTTGTCTTAATCATTTGAAATCAAGGAGCATGATCCTTTAAAGGAAGTCTGAAAATGAACAGCTAAACTAACAAAAAACTAAATAATTGCAGACTTTGTGATTTGAAAACTGCGCCAATTGAAATTGTAATTCTGATATATTGATCAATAGAGATGTAACAATATCCAAGTCTCACGATACGATATCATCACAATATTGCGATATCGTGGGAAAGCTCATGATATGGTGGGGAGGCTCACGATTAGGAATGTAACAATATCCAAATCTCTCTGTGCAATATTTTCATGATATACATTTTTGTGGAGGCTAAACAGCTAAAACTGTTAATATTTGAGTTTTTCCTCTTAAAATGCCTTGACAAGACTTAATCCAAAGAACTAAGACTTCAAAGTGCTTAGAACTGTTATTTCTTCTTGCAGTCTACACTGAAATGGAGCAAAGGATCATGGTCTATGTATGTTCCCTCAGTTTTTCATAACTCTTAATTTAAGCAAAGAGACTTGTAATTCGATGGTCGATTGTGATGGTCCATGATATTATTGTGAGAACACTGACGATACGATATCACGATACATCCCTGTTGCTCAACTGACAGCTTTCAAAACAGGCTTTATTCAAAATGCTAAAATGCTGATCTGTAAAAAAAACAAAAAAACAAAATAAACTTTTTCCTCACCCACAAGAAAATTGTACACATATTGGACCATAACATTTAAACATGTTTCAAAGAAAAGAACTAAATCAGTCAAAATCATTCAAAAATCATACCTTTTTTTGTCCACTTGGCGCATGTTTCGGTAGAATCGCATACGGCATCTTCTCCACACTGTAGCGGGCCAGGCACTCCAGCACATACTGCTTATAGGCTCTCTGAAACATAAACAAAACTGATTCAACATGGGTGAAATGCACACTGGGAAACACTAGATGGCGACAAACACTCACACACAATAGATGCCCTTTCATCACATTCAGATTCCAATGTTATGACTCGGTATTAATGAGTTTTCAATGCATTCACACTTATGTATTCCTGCTGTTGTAGTATACAGTGGGAGGTGACAGTGATTGGCCTTGAGGATTTAATATATGAAGCAAGGGAAACAGAAATGACTGGAGCTCTGGCACAGAAGGTAGTTAAAGGAATCCAATTTTCCTCCCTCAGCGTATTATCTGACTTCCACAGCAGTGACACGAGTGCCAATATAGCATAGAGATGTGCTATTATATTGATCTATTAACCAGTGACTGAAACATAAAAGCCATAACATGTTTAAGTGTTTATTAGTTTATATTTTTGTAGGATTTGTGTACTGGTTTCAAATATGCTGAAAAACATTTATCACTGGAGTAGGAACAAATAATGTATATAACCAGAGGTGGGTAGAAATAAAGTAACATAATGTTTAATTTGAAGTTAATGTACTTGGAAGAGCATTAAATAATCTGGTATTTTCAAAGGATAGACCATAAAAATGGGCAAAATTAAATGTAAATGCTCAAATAATTAAATTTTCCCAGCACAAAGCTTTAAGATTTCACTTTCAGTGGAAAGAGTAACCTGTACTTTTACTAACGTTTGGTACTATTGAAAAATATATTATCATATTTTTCGGACTATAAGTCACACTTTTTTTCATGGTTTGAGTGGTCCTGCAACTTATACTCCAGTGTGACTTATATATTGAATTTTCAGACTGACAGCCATGAGAGGGCACTCTAGGCTTGTGTATCAGTATCTATTACTCCTGTACCACTGTCACTTCGCATTCTAATGCACATACCTCCTGTAGAAAAAGTCATTGTTCTGCTGCAAATAGTGAAATATGCAGCCGAAAACGGTAATCGAGCAGTAGAAAGAAAGTTTGGAGTGAGCGAGAAACTTCTGAGGGACTAGCAGATAGCGGGGATGGAGAATACAGCTTCACGGCAACCGAACAGGTGTGCCATGCAACTTTCCTGGATGTCACTGGATGAATCGACAAAGCCTGAACTTAACCAAAACCATCCTGTCAGAATTCAGAAAAGCCGGAATAATTCTGATGCTGAGTGTGACGTCAGCTACACAGAAGAGGGAGCGGCGCTCCATTTACATCATGGATCTATGGTTTATCTCTGGAGGTCGTGCAGAAGTGACACCGAGGACGAAGAATTCGATGGATTTAGTGATTTGGAGTGAGACTGAGAGTTTGGCAAACTTATGTTCTGTTGTTTATTCTATAATTATGTGAATAACTGTTAATATGTTACATTAACATATTAACGCCTGTTCAGCCTGTTGTTCTCTGTTGTGTTATTACTATAACTTGCCTTTCAAGATGAAATGTCGTTTCCTGGTCTCTGATTTTATGAAATACATTTCCCCAAAGTGGGACTTATAGTCCAGTGCGATTTATATCTGTTTTTTCTTCTTCATTGTGCATTTTTTAGCTGGTGCGACTTATACTCTGGAGCAACTTATAGTCCGGAAAATATGGTACTCAAATAGAAGTAAAAGGTGTGTATGTGCATGGTGTATGGTGTCTGCAAACAAGTACAATTTTATTAAGAAGTTACTCAAGTGAATGTACTTGAGTAAATGTAACTGCTACCAACCTCTGCATGTAACCACAAAAATGTAGATGGATATTTAAATAATTTCAAATAATGTAGACATTAAGTTTAGCAATATACATCATCCTAGTCTGTTACTTACTATACAATTTCTTATTTTTTTCTTGAACACTGAAGAGAGTTGTGTTCTGCCAAACTTTGACATAAGAAAATACACAGAAGCCAGTCGGAAAATCTTAATCTATAGCCCTCTCTCGCACACACACACACTCGCACACCCAAACACACACACACAGACTTCCTTTAGCCTTTGTGATCAGATGGAAACACATGTGCAGTAGTTACAATAGCTTCTCTGTATAAGGCAAAAGTTCATGTTATTCACACACACCTCCATGAAAGTCTCTGCCCAGACTCGAGAGCGCACTTTGAGGATAGCAGTGGTCCCTCGCTCCAGGAGACCCACGTTGCATTGAAGCGTCCAGCATTCGACGTTCGAACAAGACTAAAACACAGAGAGAAAGACAGATTGTTATTATACTTCATATTTGATAGTTTTATTGGTTTATTAATTGTGTTAATGTTGTAGAATAAATTGAAGTCGTCAGAGAGTTTTAGAAACTAGGCATAAAGCTGGAGAAGTTTATTTACCATCAGTACAGGGCCCTAGCCTGATTCATCAGCCGGTTTCACTTTGTGGAAACCGTCTGCCCTCGCAGTGTTAGGATTCGTTCGCTAGGCAGTAGACAGGTACTTTTTTATTTAACCAATCACTGCTATTTGGTTGTGACGTATGTAATGCGGGCTAACTGATATATTCAGCCTTTTCCAAATCCTGTAGGAAGAAGGGCAATAACATCTTTCCCCTTGATGAAATTCAACAAACATTCTCTTTGTTCCAACTTTAAATCCTCGATCTTGGGAATCGTTGCCAACACAGAATGTATGGCTCTTTGCTGATTGGCTGGTGCCCGAACTCGCACTTCTGGGATTTTTGCGAATGGTCTAATGCACAGGTGTCAAATATAAGGCCCGGGGGCCAGATCCGGCCCTCCAAGACCTTTAATGTGGCCCTCTGCTGATTTTCTACAAAAATATTATATTTATATTTTTTTTTTAAAATATTGTATTTTCTGCGGTGCTTATCATATCAGCGTCTCTAGCGTCTCTGTGCGTGGCCCCTCCCACCAGAGCAGCACAAATGAAGATTTGTCTCTTTCCAAACGCTCTTAAAGGACGATCGTTTTGACTGTTGACCGTGACACCCTCATCAGCAAAATGTCCAACATGAGAAAAGTGGAGCCGAGTGCAGGATTTTCCAAAAAAAATTGACTTATTCCTATTTACATACAATTTAATGTTAAAACAGTGTGTTGAAATTACATTTTTCTTAAAGTTTCAGGTTGTTCATAATATTATAATATTTTGTAAAAGAAAGAGTTCATCAATTAAAAAAGATTTCTGTAATAGATTTGTGTTTCGCTGCACAAATATTTTAACTTATTGTTGTTTTTGGGGTTTATATGCCATGAGTTTTCTGATCCGGCCCCTTTGGGATCAAAGTAGGTTGGATACGGTCCCCGGACCAAAATGAGTTTGACACCCCTGGTCTAATGTATTCCGATTCCTGACCTAGAGACCTGGAGAGAAATGAAATTGAGTCGAGGCACTAGGTGGCGCCAGCCTGGCTAACAGGCCCCAGCACCTGGAGACATGGACCCTCAACACATTGTGAATGTTTTAACATTTGGTGTTGGAAGACCAGTTTAGCACAGTCTATTCCAGTCCGGTCTGGCTGTAGTTCTTTTGTTGGGAGTATTATACCTCTGATGACATACACTAAAATGACAAGGATTGACTAAGGATACAAATTAGCTTTGGCTACAATCCTCCAATATTTACAAGTACATGTTTTTTTTCTTTTGCAATACCTCGCCTTTTAATATGCATTGCCCCTTTAATACATAAATACAAATACAGTGCATTTCTCAGTTAATCAGTAAACTAGTTGATTTTATTTTGTTATGTGAAGCACTTTGGAAATGACGTTTTTGTTTGTAAAATGTGCTTTAATATTACAGTGGGTTGGGTTACATACCAACCATACAGAATCATTTCTCAAATTTGCCGTGTTATGAACCTGGATGAGCTACTTTAAGAGGGAGAATAAATACATCCAGTACACAGGAACACTGAAACCTGCAGAGGTGAAACTAAATACAGCTCCTGGTGCGTGTATGATTAGAAGACTACATTAGAACATGGTTAAAGGCTCAGTTTTGTGTAATGTTTATGTATTCTGGTAGCACTCGGGAGTCTTTTGGATAGTTTACAATGGTTTTAGTTCAGATCTTACTTAAGCACTTAAGGAGTATCCTGGGGTACAATAACAACTTCAGAGATAGGGTGACTAAAACAAAACTCAGCTAGATCAAAACGAAGACTAAACCAGATCTAAACTATCGACTGACTAAATTCTACCAGAAAAAGCCAGCGTACCATGAATGTTACCTCTCTAACAGTAAAAAAAAGTTTAAAAACCAATGTGATCTAGGAACATATGGTCAAAAATAAATACTAAAAAGCCAGATGCAATTACATGTAAAACCATAAAAGTCAAATGTGGTAAAACAGTCGTGTTCATGTTGTAAGTTCAATAAATAAAACAAAGAGTCCAATGTTATGATCCTTATTCCACAGCCTGCTTCAAATGAACATAGAGGAATGTCATGAGACTGTAAAAATGCACTGCCCTCTGCATCATTCCAACCACAAAACCAGGCGATTGCACTTAAGACTTTAATGCACTTAATTAGGCATCTGAAGGGAAGTTTGTGCATATAGCATTTTAATAAACAGAAAAATTCTTTAAAATCGGGTGTTGGAAGACCACCCCTAAGTGTGAGAGTTTGATGGGCTTTAGTTTAAATGTGATGCCAAGTGTAGCCATCACGGAAAAAGTGGGTATACAGTGTGAAAAGGTCAAATGTACATATATTAAAAGGCTTGGAGATTTATTTAAAGAAGAGATATTATGGGTTTTTTTTTCAGTTTTTAGTAATACTATAATGTACCTACTAGATCATGAGTTTACATTTTACTTGTTGAGAACCATAATACTGAACCAAAATGGCTTAATATTACAATCCAGTACACTGACTTCCATTCAAAACAGCATAGTCCCTGTTGAAAATGGTTATGTACATGCTTGAATTTTTTGGAATAATCACACACAACAGCAGCAGTTGTCAGTTGTTAGTCATTTGATGAAGGTACAGCCGGCATTGTTCATTTTACAGTGTAGGACCCACCCAGTTCCTTTAGACTGGAGGCTTAGACAAACTTAATGAAGGCATGCAGCAGACAGAGAGCGTATCGGGGCACTTCCTCTCTCTTCTTTTATGTCTCATTCATACCACAGGAGGAGAAGGGGCAAAAGGAGCAGGAGGCTTTGAACATGGGGCAATGCCAGGATGCCAAGATGCCTCTGACCTACGATGACCTGTCTGTGAGGGGATTATGTGGTCCAGAGCTTTTAGAACTTTTAGAGTTTTTAGATACATCTACACAGGTTGTTTTGAGAATGCATTTGTATATTACATTCTTGGATGGGGGCAGCTAAAATTTGTATGGTAAATCTATGTTGTGTAAGTTGGCAGTTACAATTCTTTTGAATGATACGAAACAACAACTATAACTGATATTAACTGTAACATGTTCTGTCAACCAATAACTACAGCTGTAAAATTTTACTATTTAGTTAAAAAAGTGGTAATATTATTATGTGTGCCCAATTTCATTTGTAATTTTTCATGAAACACAAGGCCTAGGCAATAGTGCAAGAGATAGTTGTGATTTTTTCAAATAATAGTGTCTAAACAAATAATATAGCCTTTCAAGAACATTTTTATTTTTATATATTACAACAGACATTTGGCCCACGATATAATTACATTTGCCCCGCAAGATAATATGAAACATGTATTAGAGCTGGCCCGCCGGCTACAGACAGAGTATAGAGACATTATTTATTTAAAATGTTGTTATTATTTTATATTACACTTGTTCTGGATTCAATGTTTTAGCAAAACTATTATTAAACATTTATTTTATTAAGAAAAGGTTTAACATTACATATCTTGAAAGAAGAGAAATCATCCAGATGTTGTTGAAAATATTCAATAAATATTTAGTTTGGCCCATGACTTAGTCCCAGTTTTTAATTTTGGCCTCTGTGAATTTGAGTTTGACACCCCTGCATTACAACTATAGTTTTTAATCTGGATGTCTATTGTGTGAATTTTAGTTATTGGCAAATTAGGGCAAAATTTGTAATAAACTAAAGAAATAATAAAATATTAAAAGCTATCAAAGCTGTCAAAGCTCATGACTCCATCTAATTGCACAAAGACAACAATGTACTTTTAGTAATAGGACACAATAGTGGCTCTATAGAAGAAGGACCCTCAGTGCATTATTTTTATAACCATATGTTTCAAGAACCGTTTTACAACCCAGAACAAACCTTCATTTATCCAGCCACGAGACCTGCAAAAACTATGGCTGAAGTTTTTCGTTGCACATTGGGGAATTGAACCGACAACCTACCCTACCAAAGACAGAGGGAATAATGGCTTCATTTATAGAGTCCAAGCATACCATTAACAATCCTGAAACTGTGAATACATGCATTACTTGAATCGCAGGTCCCACCTCTTCAAAGCGTCGCTCTGACCCCCTCTCCCAGCGTCACTGATCCATTACTGACCACACTTAGTTCTCACAAAGAGGGATTTCTGTTCAACCATCAACTTTTCCCAGCTCACAAAATAAAAAACGCAGACACTCGACTAAAATCAAGACAGACCTCCTTTATCCTGACATGTCATTGGACACGCTTGATAAATGAGCACAGTTAGGGAGAGAGGGGTGCGTACAAAGAGGTCTTTAGGCCCGGGGCAGGTATCCACAGCGGGGGGCAGAGACAGAGGTGATACCTGCAGCTGTGGGAGAAGGGATCAATAGGGCCACTGTGAGAGGTAATAGTAATGAGTAATATGCGTGATCTCATAGTATTCTAAAAGCTCCATACTTTTAAATTTAGATTGTGGGCAGTTAGGAATTCTATGTTAAAATTTTATTTATTTTTTTTTTTATCCCAATGATTGTGCATGACATTTAAGTGATACATACACATCAGTATCATGGTTATTAGCCATATCCCGGTTATGGCAGTATTCGGGATACTGCGTATACATGCTACAGTATCCCGGTTACTATCGGAATATACCGGCTACATTACCGGTTTCTCATAACTGGGATACTGCCTTATTCGGGATACTGAAACTGTATATATGCACCATGACGAGACTGGGATACTCAAAAAAAACAATCATAACTGGGATACTCAGTGTGACAAGGCCAATTATTTTATTATATTTACCTAACCACATCGCAGCATCTACATAATTTCCAACCTTTTTCTTCCAGTGAGCTACCTTTACAAAAAGAAAATGCCAAAGAGCTACTTATTTTAGTGGTCACAAGAAATTGAGCATAGGAAAGCCTTAGATGGGTAACAGTTATATGCCTATAAAACACAGACCTTTATCCATCTATTAGTGCACAAAGTTTGGCATCAAAATTATACATTTATAATGATAGTTCATCAAATTTGAGCCATTCATTATACAATATCTAGAATTCAGAAATCCCTTGGTGAGTTACTTGGAAGGGGGTGGAGTGCTACTGGTAGCTCCCAAGCTACAGGTTGATCTACATATTGACTTTAATTTCTTGCCTGCCTGTATTTCACTTAATCACTACAGGGATAGAGAACATTGTGCTGCCATCTGAAACCCTACAGTACACCTACACCACATCAGTCAGTAACTAGAGCATCAGAGACAGCAAGGGCCTCCCCCCTCTGTCGCTCTCTCTCTCTTGTCACACCCCTGTACAGCCCCCCGCCCAAAAACCTTTTAATGTTAATGACCAAAACAGAAACGCCCTGTACCCTCTGACCTCCTAATTTAATGACATCATAGCGTAATTACTGCATCGCGAGAGCAACAAGCAGGACCCAAGCGACCAAGTTTAAAGATGTACAATGCAGATGTTATTGCTTTAAGCGGAATCTCACAGTAAAATATTAAACTTATCTTATACTGAATTACAAGCATTTACTGTTCACAAATACCTTGAAAAATATGCACTCTTACTATGAGCAGGGTCACCTCTCCACAGATCTGACCACTACCTTGACCTGGTAGTCTCTATGGAGGGAAGTTTATTGCCATGCCGTGGAATATTCCAGGCAAAGAAATAAATCTCCATGGAGAAAAGCAAATGGTAGACCCAGAAAAGTTGCATACTGTACCTTAGATATATACAACTAGCTTTGAACCTCTTGTTTTAAATGGATAAATAAATTACCCCTAAAATGTGAAGCGAGGCTACTCATTCTAGCACATTTTAACAAATTAAATTACTGCAGATTGCATTACATTACCTGGGGTCCATTGGTGTGGTGTTACTTGTAGAAATGAAAAGTGTTGGTGAACTTCTTACCAGGTTAGTTAAATGTGAGAGCTGGTTCTTGTGCACGTCCCTCTTCTCGATGCGGTGGTCACTGCCTTTTAGAGCCAGGAGTGGAGATTCTGTGGCTGTGCGTTGGATCTAAAACAAGAAGTAAAATAGATTCAATAAAGTGCAAAAGTTTAAGTGAGGTACATATTGTTTATCAATTTAGATAGTGAAAAACTAAGGAATCAGTGTTAAGATTTTGTGTTGTTTCGAACATTTTCTCTCACAAAATACAGTATGTCTTGGTAATTGTATAGAAAGACCCAGTGCAAACTCTAAAACTTGACAAATTTTTCAATGTTTAATAAATTCTTGGTTACAAAATTTGAAATTCACACAAATAAAAAATTTTTTCAAACACAATGTACTTGAAAACTAAACTTCTGTAATTGTAAGAAGGAAACAGAGCCTTGGCAGTAGTTTAGATTTTTCTTATTTTTGGTACATTCTTCTTTATTCAGCCTTTAGTAAAATCTGTCAAAGTTTTCCAATACAGTCCACCTCTCTGGCTGTCAATACTGTTCCTAATGTGAGCATGACCTGAGGCGTGTGGCCGTTAATCAAAAGCATGTGAGCTGCAGTGGCACAGTTCCCGTGGAAACTCAGTGGAAGTCACCAGGGAACGAGAAAACATTAGATCTGAGATAGATGACCCCATAACAGCCCTGTGTAACATCTGTTAGACTGCACTGATGTAAACACAAACAAGTCCACTTTCAACTGCCCACAGGATCACAACACTGCAAAAAGACATATCTACTAGACTTAAAATTCAAATCGTAATATAAGTACTGATTGGAAAGCATTTATCTACTAGTATGGCCGTTAAACAATGTTCATTAAGTTGACATATTTTGCATACTGCAGTTTGAAAATGTGCTTTGGATTAGCATAAAATAAATGAAAACGGATGCCATATTGCAATTGTATAAAGTCAACATTTATGTATAGATCTAAACTATTTGATTTGAATTATAAGCCCTCCCCTACTTGAGTCACAAATCAAGGATATTTTGGGGTTAGAAAGAATCTAAACATGGAAACAAAACAGTGAATGGTCTAGAATTCAGAAATCATATTGTCTACAACTATTAAATAAATAGTCAAAACTACTTAAAATAAGACTGCGAATCCAAGCCATTTCAAGACAGATTAATTTCAACTTCTTATGAATATAATATTTTGTTTTCAATTGTTAATTGCTATGACTACCGTGCTCATTTGTCATCACTCTGAAACCCACGGATGGCTAGTTCTGTTTTGCTGTGAGGGTATTTCTGACAGAGGTGGTCCATCAAACGGCAGGATCACACAGGGGGAGAGGAGGAGTTCAAAGCCCCAGTGATGAGTGTCTTGGGTGGGGCAGAGGAGCGGAGGAGCAGGGTGGAGAGCGTGGAGCACTTCAGAGCAGAGCTGACAGCTAATCAAACATAACCACACATGAGAGAGAGAGCTTAGGCTGTCTCTGTGTCAGGTTTTCCTCATGTGAACCCTCAGATCTGAGCAGGGTCTACACTCAAAGCAATTATGTTGTTAAAGTGCTGTGCCCAAGAACACAATTTACCCGTAGCATGGATTAGGGCAGAACGATTGTGGAAAAAAGCTAAAGTATTGGGCCTGCACTTTTTTGTGCAGAATTCTGTGTGGACTAAATGCACACTGTAAACAACTCTAGTAGCATTAACATTTGAGAGAAAACTGAAATATGAACTAATAGAAAAAGTCTATGTATTTCTGAACATCTTTGAAAGGTTTTAAATAACTACAGTTACAAGATTTTTCTTTATAAATTCAGTATATATCAGAGGTGGGACCAAGTCGTTGTTTTGCAAATCTCAAGTAAGTCAAGTCCCAAGTCAAATACTGGAAAGTCCAACTGAAGTCTCATGTCACTGGCCCATAAGTCCAAGTCAAGTCCAAGTCTTCTGCTTTAAGCTTCAAGTCATTTCAAGTCTTTAAAACAAAGTAGAAAATATAGCTTAGATTTTTTTTTATTTATATAACTTTGTAACTAAATTGTACTTTAAAAGTCAGGATATATTTATATATGAGTATTTATATAGGAGTTGTCAAGACATTTAAAAAGGAAAGACTAGCATTTCTACAAGAGTGCAAATTATTACGGTCAGAAGAAGAAAGAATTCAGATTTAAAAATGCTGAATAATTATTTTGTCATGTAGTCTGCATTGAAATGGAAGGATCATGTTCTATGTACTTCCCTCTGTTTTACTGTATTGTACTATATATTACTGCAGTACATTTGAGGATACCATATCACAGTACTTCAGTTTCATCCAAAGTAACAAACAGAGAAGTGGGTCGGACATGTTCCAGTTTGTTCCTGTAAAATTTAGCACCACATTTATCGACTGTAAAGAGCGTATTTTCTAGAAACATTTATTTTTTTAGAAGAAGCATCAAGTCTTCTCAAGTCACAGGGCTCAAGTCCGAGTCAAGTCCCAAGTCACTGACCTTCAAGTCCAACTCGAGTCCCAAGTCTTATTCCATTTTATCACATCAAGTCTCAAGTCCTACATATCGTGACTCAAGTCTGACTCGAGTCCAAGTCACGACTTGCAAGTCCTCACCCCAGTATATACTGTGATATATTGTGAAGCACTAGTATGGATCCAACCACCTAAATTTAAGAATGCTGTTACATAAATAAGATGCAAAAACAAAAAAATAATTGGTCTAAAAATCTGTGACAATCATAACGTTATTAGGTAAAAATATTTCTTCTCACATTAATCATATACGTAATTGTATTTTCAGTATACTGTATTATTAAAAGGCCTAAGCTGCAAACTAATAAACAGCAGAATGAACCAATAATTACCCATAGAAATTATTTATTCTACAGATAAGATCATACCTTATTACATAAAATGGCAAAAATTCTCCTCTATTGCAAAGATATAATAAATATATATTGAACGATAAGTCGATGTAGTCATTACGGTGACAGGCCTAATTAATCGAAAGAAGAATTTTGACTTTGTGACATCTCTATAAGACATTTCCTTAGCAGTCCGTACCTTGAGGTTCTGTGCGTTCATTTGGTGGGCTGAGGTACAGTTGATGGGGCCCTCAGTGAAGAACTCCACAGGGTAAAGCAGAGAATGCTCGTCGATGTTGAGAGGGCAGTGCAGCTTCAGGAGGGTGTGGCTGATACGACTTGGACCGTTGTTCACAAGCTAAAAGAAATGCAGAATTAGTTCATCTATTAGGTTTATAATAATACCTTAAATTTGCATCTGGGTGGAAAGACTTCATATTCATTCATTAATATTATAGACCAATGTTCATCTTCTTTTTCTTAAAATCGTGGAACAAATACTAAAGAAAGTACTGTGCTACAAAAAATTGACACGGCTTTCAGAACACTATACTGTAGGGGCGGGACGAGATACAATTTCCACGAGACGAGACGCGAGAATGGATCTAAAAGAACGAGACAATACGAGATTCTGACATTATTTAAGCTATAACAAATACATTGTGCAATTCAGTTCACAGTTTTAGCCTCACTAGTTTTGATTTACTTTATTTATTTCTGATTATTATTTATTTATTTATTTATTTAATATTTTTGCCATCATTGTAGCTCTGCTTTTTAGGACTACACATTCTCAAAAAATGTTTAACTTGCCAGTGCTATTTTTTTCAAACCAAAGGAAAAAAATCTCACAAGATCATTTTTAGTATGTGTGCACAATCATGTGGCAGTTTTGTCTTGTGAGATCTTGTGACACGAGCTCTTGTCCCTTCCCTACAATACTGTATTGCTTCTGTAGCCACGGCTGCCCTGGGGGAGAAAGACAGAAGCAAGGCTGCCAAACTGCGGCATTGACTCCGCCAACCACCACGCACTCAATCATAACACATCCATTAATAAGACAAGGTGATGAAGTGAATTGCCTAAATTTTGTTGTGACAAAAGACTGCACTGGCTGCCAACTACCAACCACTTTTAAAAGTCTTACAATAAAGTCTTGCATAATCCATTCTTCCTACAATAGTCCCTGCAAACCAATAGTAGGAAATACCTCATAGATGTGTTCCACAGCAGGTCCGATGTCCTGCTCCTGGCCGTAGCTTTTGGTCACTTTCCAGTTGGCCGGCGGGAAAAAGACCTTATCAGGCCGAGACACACTTTAAACAGAGAAGGTAGTCAGCACATGAGTGAGGAGTATTAGTGAGTAATTCAGAAGCAAGAAATTCAATTTAAGATCAAAACAGGAATACTACAGAAGAAGTAAAAAGTAAGTTTTGATAAAACTGTATTCTTAAAAAAATAAGTGTGTGCCACCTGCTGGTTTCCATAGAGATATTATTGTTTTGCGTAAGCATTAAACTGCCTGTCTTACTCCAGACTAAGTTACAAATCAGATCTGTGGAGAGGTGATCCTGCTCACAGTAAGAATGCATGTTTTTTGCAAGTTATTTCCAAGGATTTTAAAACATGCAAGTAAAAATATAAAACGTGTACTTCTTGATAAAGCAATAACGTCTGCATGGACACAGGCAGGTGACAGACCCTCCACAAGAAAAGTTACATAGAGTAGCTTTAATGCAGCTTTCTATTGGATTACAGCCAGCCTCTAGTACAGAACAAGTGTTTCTAATGAAATCCCACATTTCCTATAAATGAGGCTACCCCAACCTTTAACTCACCCTTGTAAAATGACATCTGCCTGGACAACCACCTCCAGCTTGTAGGTCACCACCTCGCTGTGGGAATTATTCTCGTTTTTACTGTGGAGGGAAAGAAACGGGCTCTGATTAATTGTCAGGTCCAGTGGGGGCGTACAGCTAAGCAGACTGCACGTGTACAGTATTTAAGGGGCTTTATGGAGGGGGGAAAAATACCTGCGAATCTGTAAGTCGAACTGGACAGTCTTGTGCGTGTCCTTTAGTCTGGGCACTGTAAAACGTAGCCCCTCCCACATCTGCAAAGGCATTCAAGGAGTCAGCACAAGTCAGCAGGATTTTGTGTCACATATGCAAGTTCCAAGGCTAATTAGAGTCAACATACAGCACAACCAGTAAATCTTACAAGTAAATGCCATGGTCATTCCGGACACTTAAAATTAGTAATAAAAAACACACAGTTCCCAACCTTTTTGAATCAAGTACAACAAAAGAAAAGATTTGACTTGATTCCACATAGTACCAGGTATAAAATAGGACTATTCTAGGTCTAAAATGGGCTTATACCAGGTAAACTGAACTACACCAGAGAAATCCACATACCACATGAAGGCACTCACTACAGTTTGAGAACTACTGTCCTGGATGCTGAACATGTGTTTTTAGTGTCAGTTAAGTTACCGTAATAGTGATTTTTAAATAATTGGATTTAAATTGTGGTTGTACTCTGGAAGTTGTACATTTCTTAGCTGGTACTTGGTGTGAAAAGTTTGAGAACAACTGCCGGAGTACACTGTCAGTTTGTTTTTCCTGTAAAATCTGTCCCTGAAGTCCAGAGCCAGGGGATGACTCAATCATGAACTCAGCTATGCAGGAAATAAAGGCTTGCACTTCCTGTCACCACACTTCCTGACATTTTTCTCTCTCTTCCCCTCTCTCCTTCTCCCCACTATCCTCTCTCCCCCTCTCCTCCTCCACTATCTGCCTCTTTCTCCCCCCAACATTTTTCCTACTCTTGCCTTCCCCTACTCACTCTCTCTGTCTCTCGCTGTCACTCTTTCCCCCTCCCACCCGGTCTCTTTCTCTTTAAACTCAAGGACGACAAGGATGACATGAACTTTTCCCAGGACAGGAAACAGAAATGCTCATCTCTTTAAAATAAATGACTTACGCTGGTGCCTGACTTCATGGGGTTTCCCAGTTCACAAGTCAGATATCTGGTCTGATTCTCGGTGTTGTAGCTACACGTAAGCTGGTTCCGGCTCTGAAAAAAAACATGCAAAGCAATTTTTTTTTTTTGAACAATAATGCAGGATATATGTATACTGTACCATGTAATATGACCCATTACTTTTGAATATTGTATTGTATGATCTATATTTTAACAAATTTACTTTTAGGGAGTCTATTATCCGATTTTGGCAAATTACCTACTCCATTTTATATAATAGAATATTTTACTATTATTTTTTATATATTTGGTGTTTAATTCTACTGTAAGAAGCTGTGACTTTGATGGACATAAAACACATACTTTATTTTGTACTTATAGACAATTAATTTACCATGAATACAAGTGCAACAAGGAAGGATATAAAAAATGTGTCACTGTTTGGTTCAGTATTTTCCTATTATATCTCTCTTCAACTGTAATAAACATATGGACTAAGATGCCACAAACAATCCAGCAATATTTCCAGCTGTTTTAAAATAAATGTACAATATATTCACCTCATTGTTCCTGGCGATCCCAGTGTAATCAGCTTCAGGGGGCAGGACCACATAGAGCTCGGCCTCATAAGCCCCGCCCTCTCCTTCATTTCTGGCGTTGAAAGTCAAGGTCAGCGCGTTGTCATCACCCAGGTACACTTCTTTACGATCACTAAAAGAGACAATTTCTAACGTTAAATGACATAACATAATTCTACAAAGCCCAAAGAAATTAAGGAGGAAGCCAGGTCAGAATTCTGTGAAAGAATTTGCTGTTACAGTGATAAAATACAGATGTTTGGACCAGATGTGTGGTTAATATCTCTGTAGTTAATGGACCTATCCACATGAAGCAAAAATGGGCTCAAAGTTTAATGATTTTTCTGTCAGAAAAAATAATTAAACTAAATGATTTTTTTTTCTTTCACAATAGAGCATTAAAAAGTTGAGTCTTAGTCTTGATACACACAAGTTAAATTATTGTTGGTTAGACTTGCAGTCACAAGTATGGCGATAGTCTATAGTACTTAGTACTTTAGAAGAGTAGTCCAAAAACATGTATTAGTCTACTATTTAGATAATAAAGATTTAAATGGAACAACAGTATAAAGGAGAAATGAGTGATTGACTGAATAAGATATAATATTTTCTGGTATTTATATGTAAATGGTCACATTTTTATATAGAGCTTTTCCACCTTCAGGGCACTCAAAGCACTTTACAACAAGAAACCATTCACCATATCACACACACATTCAACACCAGTGTACGCAGACACTGGGGGCAAGGTGGGTTAAGTGTCTTGTCCAAGCTCACAACAGGAGTATTCATCTGTGGGAGCTGGAATTGCACTGCCAACTTGTGGATCAGTGGATCAGACCACTCAACCAGTAATGTTTATTTATTTCATTTATTTAATGAGACCAAGACAACGCAGGATGGGTGGCAGTAGCTCAGTTGGTAGAACGGTTAAATCATTTGCGGTCTGAAGGTTTGGGGTTCAAATCCCACTCTCGGCATAAAACATCATGGGTTGAGTGATCAGATCCACTGACCCACAGGTTGGGCTGGTGTGATTCCAGCTCTCACAGATGAATGCTGTCATTGTGTCCTTGGGCAAGACACTTAACCCACCTCGCCCCCAGTGTCTGTGTACACTGGTGCATGTATGGGTGTGTGAATGGGTGTGTGGTTCCTTGTTTTAAAGTGCTTTGAGTGCCTCGAACGGGGAAAAGCGCTATTGAAAAATGTACCATTTACCACAATTTACATGAAAGGAGAGATGCATTGTACATCAGGTTGTAGCACCAGTGCTAATTTCCACCTGTAGTCCCTGGTCAGGTACCAGGCTACCAACTGTTCTTCCTGGAGACCTAGTATGTAGCATGTTTTATGTTCATATTGAGAGTGGGATTTGAACCGCAAACCTTCGGATCAGTGGACAAACGCTTTACCAACTGAGCTACTGCTGTAAACCTATATGGACTGTTTTGATTGTTTTTAATCCAGTCCAACTGATGGCCAATTAACTCTGCTGATATTTTTGGATATGTAGGCAGATTAAATGATTCACAAGTGTAATCTGTCCTCATAAAAATACATTGTATTCCTATTACTTTTTCTGCATTAATAGTTTTTGAATGATAGTTTTTGCGAGTGCAGTTTGGGTCAGATGGACATATGTAATAGTTTTGAGCATTTACCACTCGACTCCAGCGCAAGGCACAAGATCTAGACCCAAACTTACATATTTGTGGATTTTTCGTATTAATGTTCCTTACAAAAACAGTGATCGTCCATAGATTTATATATAGCCTCCTGCAACCCATTTCAAATCATGACATCATATTGTAAACCATCATGAAATAAATATTGATGCCTTCCTGATTTAAATAAATAACTATAATTGGAACTGCCAAAAATGGCTGTGTTCCACCACTAAAATGCATTGGTTAATTCGCCTTAAAGGTTTTCCCTATTACTTAAACTTTTCCAGGCTCGTAAAACTGTTATAGGTGCAAAGTAACAGGCCATGGCGATGTACAGCTCCTCCTCGTTGCTAAGGCGCAGTTCACTTTCCATGGAAGGCTGAGGCTAGAACAATGCAGGGCCACACAGATGATTTTAATTAGGAGCCGCTCATGAGAAACAGAATGGAAACAGAGAGAGTGCTTCAACTAATCCTGTACTGGCCAGTGAAGGAGTTAGCTTAGACCAATTCAAACTGCATTCAAACTGACAAAAAACTAAGGTGGTCAAAAGTAGAGACAGACCGATATTGAGCTGATATTTGGACTTTTTTGCATATCGGTTATTGGCTTTAAATCTCCAGCACGGGTCGATATTTTGTTTTGGTCAAAAATATACACAAAGCTTTATTTAGACACTTTAATTAGAAGAGAAAACTGCACAAAATATGACTACACAGTTCCATTATGGGTTTGTGGTAAAAAAAATAAAATAAAAAAAAAAGGGCTGTGGGGAAGTTTGTAGTAAAGTTAAATTACTGATGTACTACAGTATGTAGTACATCAGTCCTACATATCAGTTCTAAAATATCGGCAGAGTTTATCAGCAATCAGTTGCTCTGGATTCCAAAAAATCGGCATGGGCCATGGAAAAACCCATACTGATCTCTAATCAAAAGCATCAAAAATCAGACACTAATCGATACTAAAACGAAATTAGATACTAACATGAGCAAGTATTGATACTAAAAAAGTCACTTTCACAGGACCTAACCTTTCTTGAGTAGTTTTAGAATGATCTTGAGCTGTATCAGAACAAGTATAAGATCACATGGAACCTACCTGGTTGACTGAGGGATTACACAGATGTTGAAAATCATATTATGTTGTCTAAAGAAAGAGTGTTTTTATTATGACTGTGGATCAGAATCTTTCTATTCCTTAGTATTGAAGTAGAGTTTTTGTAGTAGTAAAGTTTAGTATCATGACAGCATTGTTTGCTTGTATTGTGATTTCTTATTCTGTAAAGCACTTTGAATTATTTTGTGTACGGATTGTGCTATACAAATAAACTTGTCTTGCAAACATAATAGGTGTTTTGATATCATTTACAAAGAGATCGTGTATATTAGATGCCTCCAACCCTCTTTTGAACAAACAACAGGCCACTTTGCTATTTAACATGGGCCAGAGTTGTTTCTGTTTATAGTTTGTGTTCTGGTTCTCAAGCCAATTATCCAATCAGTAAACAAAATGAGCTCTCTGGGTTGCCAGATTCAACAATTAAAACTACTTTGTAATAAACAGAAAAGGGCTCTCTAGGACATGATGTGTCCTCAGTATATGAAAGCAAATTGGCATCAAGTTATACAGCCTTTTCAAAAACCAGTAGGAGAAGAGAATCATTCTAAAACAATATTAAAGGCACTGTACCTGACTTTTACCATCTTAAAAAAATGAAAAATAGAACTAGTTCATTTTAAATGATTTATTCCCCACTTATTGTATGCATTCAGAGCATCTGAATTATTCACCATGATGAGTTTATAAGCACTTTTCACAACTCTCAGAGACCAGTGCGGAGTTTTGCTGTCACGGTAAAGTGAACAACAAGTATCATGCTAATGTGTCAGTGTGTGTGTGGTTGTGTTGATTTTGTTGTTTTGATGTTTTTTTGAATGTATGTATCCTACTGTCTGCCCTACTGTATCTGTATTTTCTTGTTGTAACTATGAAGATCTCCTTGAAAACGAGATGGCTAGACATCTCAAGGGGCTTATCCTCCAAACAAATAAATTCAGATAAATTCAATTCAAATGTGCACTTTCTGAGTAATCAAACAATAAAACATTTTCTAATTAGTTGCAGACAACACAGAGGCAGAGCTGCTTATATCATATATCTATACTGGGACAAGACAATCTTTGCTCAAATACATGGGGAAAGACTAAAACATCAATTTAGGACATAACTTTGAGTCGTCCCTTTAGTATTGAGTGTGTCAACCATACTCCAATTGAAAGAGGCAGTGCATGTGAACAACTGAACAGAAAAAGGACCACATTATAGATATTAGATACTAGATCCCTGATGCTTGGGTAGTTGATAAAACAGGAAGAGAGGTCACTGTGGTGACTTTACAATGGCCGTAAACGTGTATCATAAATAATACTAGAGTCATGTTGTTTTGCACTGCACTTGTTCCATACACTGCGATGGATCCACCATACATCGGGGGAAACTGGAGACAGATGTTAGATAAATATAGGAATGTGAAATGACAGAGGAGAAGGGAGTGAGGGAGCGTGTTATTTCGGAGTAAAATGCTAACAGACTTCTGAAATCAAAGTGTGGTAGTGGTGTGCTTTTGACAGCTCAGGATCAGCGAAGGGTGGGAAACGGGCGAAGCAAGCTGATATATTCTCTGTGATTTTTTTATGTAAACTGTCTATTGCCAAACAGATGGATTGAAATTCATGTGATGTGATTGTGAAAGCTTTTGTACTGTTATAAAACAATCACATGAATTGAAGCTATTTGCCATTACTAATAAATCAAACTAACTAATAGACTAATACTACTAGATTTGATTTGCGTGACTTTTTTAGATTACTTTACCTCATCAAGTCAACATTATACAAGTTGCTTCTGACTAGTTGCAATAATTGTAATCATATTCAATCCTAAATAAAGTGAAGAAATTGTCTTTGAGAAAAATTCCTTAAAGACTGAAAAAATTTGTAACTTTTCTGGTGTAGGATCCGCCACCTACTTGTCTTTATGGAGATGGTACTGCCTTCCTGAAATGTTCCATAGTATGACATTTAACATATCCATCTAGAATGTATTCATTATAGGTGCCTCTGTTGATCAAAAATACAATAATTCTTGCTGTGAATGGGGTCGACTCTCCATATATCAGAATTGTAAATATTTTTAGAGCAATAAAAATACCTTGAATTGAATAAATCCAAGATAGTTTAATGCTATCCTACTGAACATTTCAGGTAAATCAACCAGAAAAGTTACAGAGGTTGCATAATTCTATTTATCTATCATATTTATTCAAGCCATAAGAGGTATCTTGAAACTTACAGTCCTAACCTAATAACCACATGCATAATACACAAATCCTTCATTGAGTCATTAAAATTTATGGTGACTACTTTTTAGAGCAAAAGCAACAACATTCACTTTTGCCCCTGTATTTCTTCCCCTTGTAAGCAGTCTATAGTAAAACCTATGGAAGGAAACTGTTAAGGTTATTGCCCTATTGCTGTAACACATAGGACTATTAACAGCACTTACTATCTTGGGTTCCAGTGAAAACAAAGAAGCCAAGCAACAAAAGCAGCTGTATGGTGTTTTTGCAGCCTAAAGCCCATTTGCATAGCAGAGGTGAAGAGTTCAGTGTCTGTGACCCCATGTGCAGTTTAACATAGACTATGCACTCCCTGGTCTAGTATATAGTATTTCCTGACACATTTATGCTGCTGAGGGGTTTGTGGAAATGCATTAAGAGACTTACCCAAGCACGGCCAGCTTCAAGTCAGGAACACAGATGTTGTCTTCCCCACAGTCCAGCAGAATCTGAGCCTACAAGATACAGAGATGATATATAGTGTTACAGTTTTTTAAGTACGTGTTTTCTTGTGTAAATAAGTCACTCATGGATTATACTTTTACTTGTAGAGTGCGTTTACAACAGTCTCTGCGGGACACCCATGTCACCTACTTTCATTTCATCCACTTGTTTCCTTTATTTTAGGTGCTCTAAAACCCTACTCTGCTCTCGAAGGTACAGTATGGAACTTCCTAGAGATGGCTGCATGATTCCATGGAAAAAGAAAGTTAAAACCATGCATTCTTCATGGGAATAGATAAGATTTATGCAATACTGTGGACGATTATAGCTAAAGGAATAGCCCTTCCATGGAAAGGCCAAATGAGAGCCAGGTTTGTGAAGATGCAAGCCCCCCAGTACGGACATACTGTGGCTTTAAATAATTGTATTGTTTTTGTACAATACGGTCACTGTCAATGTCCAACTCTAATCATAATATTTAATATTTGATAACGTATTAGCTAAAGTAAAAAAAAAAGGAAATAGAAAAATAAATAGGAAATAGAATAGGAAGTATAGTATCACTCACACAATGAAACGAGTCAAATAATCCAGGCCCAACAAACAATTAAAACCTCTGTTTCAGTCGTCACAGTTTTCACATTGTAAAAACAGTTATTTGCAGTTATGTAGATAATATAATGTCCTCTGACAAGCACAACACATCCTTATATACAAATATTATAAAGGGAGATGTACAGTGTCACCATCTGACTGTTGAAAATACATTAAAACATGAGAATGGGATTAGACACACAAAATAAATTTTATATCAGCTCAAGAGAGATAAAAGCAGGAGTGTAGCAAGACGTGACATGTGCTATGACTAACATGCTCCGTCTGGTACCCCTTCCCCTCTTCCTCCTCCTCCCTCTCCACCCTGTCCCCCCTCTCCTCACCCTATCCTATACATGTACCTGGACTACAGCCACCTTCTGTTTACACAACACCATTTCTTCACAGGAAAACAATGTAATGTCTCACACAGGGACGGTGACGAACTCATAAGCAGCTGTGCCATCAAAAACATGTGCTTTTCAAATGATCAAGTAAAGAAAATTAGCAATATTGCCTCTTTTTTCAAGCTGAATTATATGCAGGAGCAGAAGTCACACTTAAAAATGTCTGATACATTATATGAGATGGTCAGTCTTCATACTAACAAATTATTATTTTCAATTCAATACATTTTTGGCTTGATAAAAAAAAATATATATTAATTCACTGACTATTAATCATTGTCATTTTTTTTATTTAAATAATAAATTTAAAAAAAGATCAAACATAGTCCTCCAATGTGAAGAAATTGATTTTGAGAAAAATTTCTTTAACGGCACTATGTAACTTTTCTGGTGTATGCTCGACTCCATGGAGATATTATCACTTTTCGACGAACGTTCCTCACTATGGCATTAGGCATCCCCATGGAGATTAGAAGGTGGCACTACCAGGTCAACTAACAGGTCAGATCTGTGGAGATGTGTGCCGGCAATTGATTAAAAGCAAGATAGACACGTTTAATGCCACTCTACAGGACATTTGAGGAAAAGCAATAACATCTCCACGGAAACAAGCAGGTGCCACTGGAAAATTTACACTCACGACTAGGCACAATAACACATTTTGAAGTACGATATATTGCTGAGGAAAATATAGACAATAAACAATAACATTTAAACTAATTTAATCCACTAATACATTAACCAAAAAGCTAAATGAAGAATATAGATAAAGAAATATTAGCAGCAAAAAATAAATAGCAGAATTAAATACTTTAGTAGTTAGGATACATCTATAGAAGTCATAGTCATTTATTCAACCCTCTTCATCTGAAATGTAATTGTAGTACAGAAAAATAAGAAAAAGTACCTATGACAAATACTGGCCCCAAAAATAATTGTTCCATCTTTCATATATTGAATAATTAGTCGACTATCGTGACAGGCCGACTTACAACAGACATTTTTCCTCTTCTTATCCCTACACTATAAAACACACCTGGACTACAGCCACCTTCTATTTCCATAGCCCCATTTCTTCCCATGAAAACAATGTAATGCCTCACACAGGGACGTGACGGACAGCTGTGGCGTAAAAAACATGTGCTTCAGGTTTGTGACATCAGAGTAGGAAACGATGAGTCCAGCCGCGCCAAAGGAAAGATACTTAGAAGAGATGTGCCTCCTCCACATGCACAGTCCCACATCAGAGCTTTGTGTGGTGAACCAGGCTCCAACCACATGCTACACCACCCATTCAACCTCATCACCGCTGTATGATCATAAAGGGGTCGGGTTTAGGGACATGTACACTCTAAGAAATAAATAAAGCAATATATGAGTTCAGTAGTGTGAGTTTTGTAACAAGATCAAATGTATTAAGTTACTACAGAAAACATGGATGTGTTAAATGTAGAATTTTGGCTAGAGTTTAAATGAAATGAGATTGGGTGGAATTTGTATTCTTAAAAACGTAATATACTTTAATATTATAGAACAATGAAGCTTGTCAGTAATAGTAACAATTTTCCTTTGTATTTAATTTTGGAAATATATTGTTTTAAATGTAGTATTTAATCAATAGGGCTTGGTTAGGGGACAAAAATGGATCGATGGATACCTTCATTTTCATTTTTTTTTTTCTTTATACTGACTAATCACACTTTCGAATCAATTGTATTTTATCAAATTGAAAAACAAATTTCCTTGAAATAGGAATAAGATATGCAAGATATTTTTAAACCTGTCAGAAATACAATTATGATAAGGAGTACTAAAAAAATCATAAATCTACCTAAACCAAGATTTAATATTTATATAATATATATATATATATATATATATTATATATATATATATATATATATATATATATATATATATATATATATATATATATATATATATATATATATAATATATATATTATATATATATATATATATATATATATATATATATATATATATATATATATATATATATATATATATATATATATTATATATATATATATATATATATATATATATATATATATATTGTTTTTTACAGTGTAGTGTCAAGTGCTCAGCCTTGAAGGAGCAGACAAGTCTATGGAGATTACAGTGCAGGGCAGGACTCACTGAAACCATTGGATGAGGGGACGACCACTGGACGTGTGGCACAGAAAGCCACAATTGCATCGAGCTGCGTCGTATCAGTGATGAGGCTCATGACAGCAGAAGTAATAAATAGAAAACTGCCAGAGATTAGAGAGACCAAAGGAGCCCCCCTTTCATTACAGTGAAACTAAAGCTCTAATTTGGGTCACCATAGTAACCGCGGTGATGACTTGGCCCCATGCGCTCCCTGTTCTGTGTATATATGGGTTTAGACCCTTCCTACAAAAACAACATGCTTTAAGGATATACCATGTGTATCAAAATAATCATTGTGTCTAGATTGTAAGAATAATTCCTCTATGGTCTTCAATTTGGCAAGAAGAAAGTGAAGTTAAACATCTGCATTTGACCCATCCTTGAATGCCACTCATTGCTGTAGCTGGTTCAGTCAAGACTACCAAGTCCTGCCCTTTTTTTTGTGTAGAAATAATCAGTAAACTGGAGTACCTAAAACCATTAAGACACACAGCAGTGTGGCAAGTGCCAACAGATCTAAATCAAGGACTATTCCAGGTCTAATCTAGGGCTAAACCACGCCTAAAGTGGACTACATAATTGTCAGTATAGTTCTAAACAAAAAAGCATCCAAAGGAAGATAACAAGTTCTGTCATTGTGTCCTCAGATAAGACACTTCACCCACATTGCCTCATATGAAAGTGGTGGTGCTGGTGGTTGGAGGGGTTGATACAGACTGACAAGCTCACTTACGTCAGTTTGCCCCAGGGCAGCTGTGGCCACAGTTGTGGCTTATCATCACAGAGTTTTAGAGTGAGTGAATAATGACTACAGTGTAAGAATGAACAATGACGACAGTGTGGAGCTTTCAGATGCTTTGCCTATAACAAGTGTAAGGCAATATTATTATTACAACAGTTTCAGAAACTGTATTAGGCTCTTTATTTATTTTGGTTTTAGATTAGATGCAGTGGCAGGGTTTTGTTTTGAACTGGTAAATGCTATGGCAACAGTGCTCATTTTTCATCACTTTCAAACTCAAAGGTAGGAGGGGGAAACCCAGTTTACAAGAATAAAGATGGATACTTTCACTTGTCATAAATAGTGTTTTTCTCACATATTGAGCAGCCCTATGGATCACAAATAAGAGAATCAAACTACGCTCATTAATCATAGTCACACTCTGTCACATGGAAAGAGTTCAAGAACAATAAGGCCATTTGTGCATTTCTTTCCAACAGTTTGAACACATGCACACTACATACATAATGCTTCAATTAATAGAGCCATCTCTGCCATAAATTAAAACAGTGACATGTGGATTGTATTAAAAGGCCTGAGAGCGCATCAACAGTCTTTAAACTGTTTGAAGAGTGAAGGAGTTTGGCAGAGGCAGTGTTACATGAGAGGTTTCACATTGTGCTTGCATGTGTTAGCAGTCAATTGTATGTCATATAAGTGATCAAGGGCAGAACTATAGTGTACCATCAACATGGCCATTTCCGCTACAGGCAGAGCATATGCATCTTGTGTAATGACATATGCATCTTGTTTAATGACATGCTGGTACTTGATACCAACTATTCTCTGGGTGGGTACTGTTTAAGGTGCCAGCCCAGTACCAAATAAAAAGGCTACAGGTACAGAGTAACAACTGGAACCAAATCTGGGAAGTAATAATACGTTTTGAAGTCCTGGTAGAAAAAAACTGAAGATTACAAGATAGTCTCACAACAGATTAACAATAACAACAACAGCTTTTCTCCGAATAAATACTGTTTAATAGAATGTACAAATACTGTAGTTCTGCTCTGGTATTCTATATGATGGTCACTGATACTTTGCAGCTGATGTCATGAGGTGTGAAGTCATTACTTTGTGAAGATCTGTTATCTGTTACCAAAATTAGACTTTAATCATAGTTTCACACAAAAACTAGAAAGAGAAACAAACTAGCGTCACCTTTTGTGCTAAAATTAAATTAAACTCCAAACCAGGACCATGAACATCTGTACTGATCACAGCCTCCTGAAAATGTATTGTTTAAATCCATTTTGTATTTTTTCTTGAGTTTTCAGACCATCTTAAAACTTTTTTTTTTATAATGGTAACTGCTAAATACCCCCAGCACAATGTCACTGCAAAGTATAAATACAAGAATAAGCAAAAAACAAGTATTATTCAAGAACCTTATAAATGGTAAAACGATTCAATAAGTGGATATTCAAGCTTAAGCAGATCTCAAGGCATTAGTCCATGTTCAAAGGAAAAGCTTTGATATCAATAATGGTTTAAGAAGATTTCAGAAGATAAACAAGGAATGTAAAAGAAGGATTTAAATGAGATTCGGAAACTAATGCCCATAAACGTGGCACAGATGTAGGGATGCCCAGTCCATCTCTGTGCCAAGAGCTGTGGAACCAAGCCAAAGGATTTCAAACACGTGATAAAACACCAGGACTTTACTCTAGTAAGAAATATGTACGAGTTCCACCACAATCTTTGAAATGAATGAGTGGAGATTACTGAAACACAATTGCAATGTGAATGGTCGTAAATAATGTCAATGTCTATTTACTGTCCCCGCACTTCGTCCCAACTTTCTGCTTCCTGATCTTACTTTCCTATCTAATAAAGCCAAAGAACACCTTCCCATAACTGAAGTCCTGTACGTTCTGTAAAGTATCTATGTTTTGCAAAACACTGTAAACACATACTATACAACACATCTGCTTAATAAAATGTAGAAGTAGTCAAATCTGAAAATCTAAATCTAAAATATCAACTTTGAGCTGAATCCTAGTTTTAAGACGTTCCAAATCTTTTCACAATAAAAAATCTTTGCTATTCAAAACAGTGACTCCTCCTCTAGTTTGTGTACATACCTTCTGAATAAATAAAATGAAACGCGAACTTTGAGCTGGATCCTAAATTTAAAACATTACCAATCTTATCACAACATCTAACAGAAAAATTCAAACTGCAACCTTGTTCTGCAACCTGCTATTCAAAACGAAGAAACTCAAGAAAGAAGAGAGAAGAAACTAAAATAACAATAAAGAGGTTAAAATAAAATATGGACTTGAATGAACTGGATCCTGATTTTAAAATATTACAAATCTCATCATAATATCTAACAGAAAAATGGCGACACTTGTTTATCTCTGCTACTAAACTGAGCAAATCTTCCTCTTTCTGTACATACCTTCTAAATAAATAAAATGAAATGTGAACTTTGAACTGAATCCTGAATCCAGAAAAAATTCAAACAGCAACCTTGTTCATCCCTGTGATTCAAAACAGTGACTCCTTCTCTCATTTGTGTACATACCTTTCAAATAAATAAAATGAAATGCGAACTTTGAACTGGATCCTGATTTTAAAACATTACAAATCTCATCACAGTATCTACCAGAAAAATTTTGATTGCAATCTTGTTTATCCCTGCTATCCAAAACCATTAAATTAAATCTTCCTCTTGTTTGTGCATTTACTAGGAATGTAACAATAACCAAAATATTCTGATATTGTATCGTCTGCAAGTCTCACTATAATATGAAGGGCTGTCACAATATATTGAATCACAAGTTCATTTTCTTAAATACATGGTTTTATAGTAGCAACAGCTTATAAACATAGGGAATTACATATCCCATGATTCATTTCAGTGCAGACAACATGAAGAAATATGTTTTTTACTAGAATTTTTGGGATTATGACGGTAATAACAGACACAAAAATCTTGTCAAGGTATTTTAAAAGCAAAAGTGTCCTATCTACAATTCAAACTCATACTCTTCAAAATATCGCAATAAATATCATACAGTGAGATGCATATCGTAATAATATTGTACCATGAGATTTGGATATCGTTACATCCCTAGCATTTTACCAACTAAAATGAAATGTGAACTTTGAACAGGATCATAATATCAAACAGAAAAATCTCCAATATTGTTCTTCCTTGCTATCAAAAACAGTGACTGCTCTAAATAAATAAAATTAAAAATGAACTTTGAACTGGATTCTGATTTTAAAACATAATAAATCTCATTTAAAGGTTAATTGTGGAACTTTTCTGGTGGAGGACCCACCACCTGCTTGTCTCCATTTTAGATGCTAGATAAGATAAGATAATCCTTTATTGTCTCCCATGGGAGAAATTTGTCTTGGGACAGGGGGGTCACATGCTTTAACAAAAACAGGACAACACAACACAAAGCACCACATAACATCCACCATAGAACAAAAATAGATACGAGACCAAGTATGACCACTAGTGATGCACCAACAGGACCTTTAAATCAGTCTTTACAGGCAAGCCCTTGCATTCTTGTATTCTATTAATAATTGCACACTCCCTAAGCCTATGTGCAGTTTTGATTGCACATTCCCTAAGCAAATGTGCAGTTCTGATTACACACTCCCTAAGCCTTTTACATAAATTTTTTAACTGCACGATCTGAGTTTAGCACAAAGGAGATGGCACAAAAGAATGTTTGAAACTGTTCAGTTTACAGTTTGAGACCCTGAACCTTCTGTCTGACGGCATCAACTCAAACTGACTGTGAAGAACATGGGTTGGGTCACTGGCCACTTTCCTACCTAGTTTTCTAACAGACTCCTCAAAAATTAGCTGAAGTGAGCTAGGGGCCACACCCATTATTTTAATTGCTCTTTAAGTCAAGGTAAAAATCTGTGATTTAAGTTTGAGTGACAGGTTACCAAACAATGCTAGATGTTATGTTTTTTCCTGTAATGTTCCAATGGTAAGACATTAAACACATCTATCTAGCATTTATTCATTACGGGTGTTTCTATTGCTCAAAAATACAGTAATTCTTTCTATGAATAGGATTGCATCTCCACAGATCTGACCTGTAATGCAGCCTATAGTTGTCTGCCTTGAGATAGAAAGGTTTAATATCTCTACCATGGAAACCAGAAAAATTTAATATCTAACAGAATAATCTCCAATCTTTTTCATCCCTGCAAATCAAAACCAGTAAATCTTCCTCTTTGCGTACATAAGTTCTAAGTAAATAAAGTAAAATGTGAACTTTGAACTTTAAAACATTACAAATCTTATCACAACATGTAAGAGTGCAAAAATCTCAGTTCCAAACTTCAATCCCTCCTCTTCTTTTTAGTTTACATACCTTCTGCTCTATCACGCCGGTGGTGTGGTAGTTGAGGATGGGCCTGAGTCCGTGGGAGTCCTCTGCCGCTGTGGGGTCCAGGCTGTAGTTGAACGCCACGTAAATGGGCGAAAGTTTATCTCGAAATTCCTTCTCGTCCTGGGGTCAGACAAACAGATTTACCCAGTGAGCTTTTGGCGCCAAGGAAAACGCAATAATAATAATTTAATTGATTTATTTCATTTTGGAGTCATGAGCCGGCGCGTTCAGACTGTTGTAATCCATCACTATAAATAAAAGGTCCCATTGCCACAGAGCCGGTTAGTAGATTTGCTATTTATAAGTACATGCAATTTGGAAATGTTGCCTCACAATATTTAATTTGCTGTTGATCATAAAGCCTTTAATTATACGTCAAGTGGATGCTTGCGTATTAAAGACTTAAACTAGAAATTAAAATGTGACATAAATCTTTGGAGAATTTAACTACTGAATAATACAAATAATCAAGATATTTTAGGCAAAGGACAAGACAATCAAATAACCTGATGTATTACTAGAGCCTGGTTAGAAAGTAACCTATATGTTTTGTCTCTAATACAACAATTAGCTGGTAAAATTGCAGTCTAAAAATAACAATATTAAATTATAGTTTTATTATTGATTGGGTATAAAGTAGCAAAGTAAAATGTTCTATATTACGCTCTGTGCACAACTGGTCCGCTAGCATAATTGATATGGATTGGCTGAATGGCTTTTATAGTTTTAGTTTGGAATGGAATTGAATATCAGGTTCCTACAGCTCCACTCAAACAGTGACAGATACAGGACTATTCAGATTATTCTCCATTCAACTGTACCACAACAGACACATTTTTGCCTTATTATTATAAAATATTGTGATGTGTGAACTACTGTGTCCAAGTAATTTCCCTTGTGGATCAATAAAGTATGTCTAAGTCCAAGTCTATTGGGATCAGGCTCAGTGCACTGTCTAAAAATACCATTACAATGAAAAACTATAATGGAAAAATTACTTAGCAAGCAATTCTCCAAGTTATTAAAAGCCCGTAATGTCGTAACCATCTGTTTTGGCCAGAAGTGTCCTTACTCTTAGGTAGATCATTTTGTGGTCACACGTGCGCTGGCCGTGACGCACTCGCACACTTTTCTGCAGGCGGGGCATCTGGGTCTCCAAAAACAGAGCCCTCTTCACGGCCCCCTTCTTTTTGTGATCCCGGCTATCGAGCTGCACCTCCACCTGGAAATCTGTAACACGACACAAGCACGAATGAGCTCTCAGACTACGTGCTGTGTGGTTTAGAGACGTGTAATGAGAGGTTTGAAGAAGACCTTTGTAAATACGACCAGCTAATTAGAGCAACAACACAGAGAGATAATGGTTATTTGGGGATGGTAGAGTTTCAAATGAGATAGAAACATTCAGGCCTGTAGTGGTGAGCTGAGCAAATGTACTATAGCCAAAGTTGATATTTTTATGTTCAAGTTCGTCACAAATATTAAAGTGTTCTATGTAACTTTTTTAATGAGGTTCAACCATAGACTGTGTAAAGAAGTGGACTTATGGAGCTCCAGTCAAATGAAACGCACAAAGATTGTAGTTATAGCAGCAAATTTGGAGCCCAGTTCTATATTAGGAATATGAATTTATTTATGGACAAAATAGTGAAATAAAAACCTAAGAATCATGTAGAGCAGGTAAATACTAAACATTTTAAGACTCAAATGACAAGGGTCACTGCAGCTCAATACACATGGAGAAAGAGGTGATAATTTTTCAATATAAATTCAACTGGATCCAGCTGATGGAGCCAGAAGCGGCCCCATACTTATTTCTTATTTAGGATGCGGCAGCTGATACATTGGCTATGTCCATTTATATGTACATAGACTATGGGTCAACCTACTTGTCTCCATGAAGATATGATTGCTTTGCCTGCAATGTTTTACAGTATAGCATTAAATTTATCCATCTCCATGGACAAACAGGTGACCTCCCAAAGTTACATGTCAGATCTGTGGAGAGGCAGGTCAGCTGACAGTAAGAATGTTTTTTCAAAGCAATGAATAAAAAATGTAAATGAATACATGTAAGATAAATTTAATGCCATACTGTGGATCATTCCTAGCCAGATTCATAAGCCGGTTTCACTTCATGGAAACCATCTGACCTCATAGCATTAGGAGCATTAGGATTTGTTCTCTCGACGGTGGGTGGGTACTTTTTTTATTTAACCAATCGCTGACATTTGGTCGTGACATATGTAATGCTCCGCTAACGGGTTTAACTTGTATATTAAGCTTTTCCCAAATCCCATAGGAAGAAGGGGAATAACATCTTTCCCCTTGATAAAATTCACAAAACATTCTCTTTGTTCCGGCTTTAAATCCTTGAATTCGGGAATCGTTGCCAACACAGAATGTATGGCTTCATCTACATCCATCTCAGCCACTTTGTTTACTGTTGTGCTGTACCACAAAAGTCATGGCTTCACAGCTCTTTGCTGATTGGCCGTTGCGGGGTCAACAACTTCCGGGGTCCTTGCAAACCGTCTAGTGTATTCCGATTCCTGAAATAGTCGCTGGAGATAAATGAAATTAAGCGGATGCACTAGGTGGCGCCAGCCTGGCTAGATCATTCCAGTCATCTCCATGGCAACCCTTACATTGTTATTTCTTATTATTTTTTCTGTGACCTGAATAATCCCAATTATCAGTTAGTCAAATAATGCCTTGACATCCTTATAGTAAAGGAAGACTGTCATATTAGATTACATTCAAAAAGGGAGAAAAATGTCAAATTGGCTCACCAAGGACATCTGGGAGGTGCTTTCCATCAGCAGATAAGCAGAAACTCACATTGACACTGTTGAAGAGAGAGTGAAAGAAAATGAGAGAGAGGAAAAAAAGAGTGAAGAGTGAGAGGGGACAAGGACATGGAGAGGGCACGTTATTCATTTAATCCTGGAAGAGCAGTTTAAACACATAATGGAAACAAAGCAGTCAATTCATTCTGTTTCCGTCACTTCCTCTTGACTCCACTATTTTTGTCTCAGCTTCTTATGGTTCACTTTTCATTAGGGCTAAATCGAATCAAAACTGAAACTTCAATGGTGGCTAGTTTACTCAACCGAGAGCGAGATATCCAGTTTTTATGAAGTCTTAATATGTCATGCATGTGGTTCTTATAGTGGTTGAGCCATTCATTTTCCCCTGTTTTCTCATATGGTAATGCTCTTGGGTGAGATTAAAAAGTGAACTGGAAATTTTACTGCAAATCAGATTGAATATGTAAAAATATCAAAATTATAGGTGCTGTACTTAATTTTTACTTCTTCCTCACTTCTTTGACACAACAAAAACTAACCTGTAAACTGTGCACCATAGATTTTTCGTGGTTTTTGAGCATGTTAGGGCTGTCAAGTATCAAAAATAAGATACAAATCGATACTGAAACTAATATTGATACTCATTTGAGCAAGTATGGATACTAAAAAGTCACATTCACAGATAAAAAACCTTGCCTGAATAGTTTTAGAATGATCTGGAGCTGTATCTGAACAAGTACAAGAGCACATAGACTAATATGCGCACATGGTCGACTATGGAACCTACCTGGACCACTGAGGGATTACACAGATATAAGACCACATGATAATATAAAAGAAAGTAGTATGATATAATGCTGAAAATCACATTCTACTGTCTAAAGTGATATTGTGGTATCTGAATCAGTTTTCGTATCATGACAACACTAGTACTGGGACAAGACAGATTTTAGTTTATTACACGAAAAAAACCCTGGTAGAGCCTCTTTAAGTAGTGTATATTTACAAGCTAGTTCTTACAATACTTGAGACATGAACTGCAATAGGATTAAACTGCAAAAGGGAAGAAATGCTAAATATTTGCTGGGCACTAGTTGGAGCGCTGAGTATTCACAGGCCAAGTTGATAAATTGTGGTCTTCCCTTTCACCTCCTTGTCTCCCATACACACTAATGTATTTGGACATAGCAGAGACTCAATTTGGGCACTACTCAGATTTCAGCGTTGGACCAGTCAATGGCCATCTGTATTTAAGCCTTGCATGAAGCGCACTCCCATGACATCAGCTGTGCAACATGCCGAATGCCGATGCTATCCAAAATATTTGCAATCCCATTTGTTTTACAAGCGAAACCACACTACAAGAGCAGAAGAGAATAGAAAAAATTGAGGATTTTGAAAGAGAAACAAGCTGTTAAATATCATTAGACATACTGCAGACACAAGCATAGCTGGTGAAACTCCTTGGATGGACTGAGTTTAATATTCGGTAGTACTTTGTAATGACTAAACTAGTTTGACTTAACTTCTAAGGGGTATTACTGTAATTGTTAACAGATAACATTTAGATCAATTTTATTGTTTAGAAAATGCTATAGTCATTGGAAAAATGAAAGTTTCCGCTCCCTTTTCTCCCTGTGCTAAGTAAACTTTATAACATGGTACATAATATGCCAATCCTAGCTCATAACCCATCATTTAGTAGCTAAGCCTGAATCATTCTTAATAAACTCAATTCTTTGTTCATGTTTTATTAAAGCTAATACTAAAGTGGTGCGCAATATTCTTATACTTATATAGTATACATACATAAACTATTGAGCTTTTCAAGTATCAAACTAGGCTTTACGTTGTCTGTAAGTGTCAGTTAGTTAAAAATAGTGTTTGAAATTACATATTAATAATAACAACAGCTTAATTTAATCAGATCTGTAATTCCCTTTATGCTTTGTAGATGGTTAATGTGAGTGTTTTGAGTTTTCCCTGCGTATCTTTACTACAAATTGGCCCATCAGAGTTTTTTTTGCAAAGCTGCAGTAAGTACAATGACAAAAACAATCTATCTGCCCATCTATTTAAGAGAAAGCAGGAGAGAAAAATGGGTCATGGAGACAGGGCTTTCTGTAGCAGTCAGAACAGTCTTATGTAGTCAATGCTTCTGGTTCAGTGTAGAGTGCCTGTGTCCTGATGTCTCCCAGCTGTGTTCCAGCGCTAAACAATATCTCATTCAAACCAACTGCTCAAGGCCCCTCCCCTCTCTTTTTCTCTCCCTATACCCCTGTGTTCTGTACCCCTTTCCTCTCTTCCTCTCTCTTTGCTTGTGCTTCTGTCTCTTCTGCAATTCCCCCTTCCCTCTTTCTCTTCTAAATCTCTCTCCAAATTCACCCTTGGCTCTGTACACTCTCTCAGTCTCTCTGTGTGTCTCCCTTTCTGCATCTCTCTCTCTCTGTGTCTCTCTGTATCTTTGTGTATCTCTCTCCGTCTCTCTTCTCTGATTTCCTCTTCTCTCTCCTCTCCCCTCTCCCTTTCTCTCTCCAAATTCACCCTCCCTCTGTAATCCCCCTTCTCTTTTTTATGTTCACTCTGTACACTCTCTTTCTCCCAGTCTCTCTCCTAACCCCTCTTTCCCACCCTCTTTCCTCCTGTATCCTCTTCTGCTCCGTCTGTGGACTCTTTTCACCTCCACTAAAATTTTTCATCACCAGGGAGGACTTATGGCCATAGGGAGTTTCCTTACAACGGTGTAAAAAGTGCAAGGCCTCAGTATTAGCACTAGCCAACTTGCTGCTTTCCTCATATAACATTCAGTCTTAGAAATAAATGTGTACAATTTGTATTTTTCCATTATTATATTTATTCAGTTTATATTTCTTAATGAAAATATCTATTAGAATGTTGGTTTTCATTGAGTTATATATTTTAGAGTCAATGTTTCATTTGGTTAAAGGTGCACTATGTAACTTTTTGGCTGGTCACTTGCTTGTTTCTATGGATACGCCATTGCTCTGACTGGACTTTTCCACAGTATGACATTAAACAGCTCTACCTTAAATTTATTCAATTGCAGGTGGTTTTATAGCTTAAAAATACCTAGAAAAACAGGCATTCTGACCGTGAGTAGGTTGCCTCTCCACAGATCTGGCCTGTAACTTGGTCTAGTTTGGTCTACATGAAGATAGAAAGCTTTAATGCCGTACTGTGAAACATTCCAGACAAAGCAATAACAGCTCCAAGTTTAAGTTATTGCATTTTGGACCTAGTTTAGCACTAATTTAGACCTGGTTTGGATTTGGTTGAACACAGAAAGCCAAACCTTTTCTTATGCGGTCCTTATAGTGAAAACTTAGAGAGCCACTTTGCAAGAGGGACAGTCCAAGTATAATAATCAATCCATCAATTGTATCGTCAAAGCTGGGATCTTATAAAGGGAGAGATCCACAGCCAGTCCTCTGTCAGTAACATGCGGTTTGGAGTTTAGACTATGGAGGAAGACATTTGACTATTTTTGCGTTAAACGGCAATGATGAAAAGCGAATACAGTTTATGTTCATGAAATGAATATTGCTAGCCATATTTACATATTTTGAAAGCTATATTGATTTGTTTTTAGTTGGAAAATAAAATTGACAACTGCGAGAAGTCATACATTTCTGCTTACAGCCCTGGTCAAAGTGAAAGAAGATGTACTGTTGGCATCTGGTTTTCATTTATACAAATTCATTTTTAATAGCCCAAAGAGTGGCTACTAAAACACTGCTAATATATTCAAACAAAATAAACCAGATGGGACAGGCAGGCGAATGCACAGTCAGCCATGTAGAGACAATATAGACAGTTTGTGATGGTGTGTTTCCGTAGTTGGTCTTTGCAGAGAGTGAGTTCCAATGAAAAACAATGCCCCTATTGAGCTTTCCTTCACAATTTCAACAACCCCTGTGTGTTTTATTACAAGCAGCACTAGAACAACAGGTCAGACAAGGTAGGAGCTTGGGATGTAACAATATCAAATCCCCTCGATACAATATTTTCACACCATACATCTCACAGTTCGATATTTATTGCAATATTTTGTGGAGGCTTAGAAAATTGTGAATATGCTACGTTTTCTTTTTAAAGTCTTGGAAAAGCCTTTGGAACAGCTATAATATGAAGATTTAAGATTTAAAAGTGCTTAATAACAGTTATGCTTTCTTATAGTCTGCACTGACAACACCGAAGGATCATGGTCTATGTAGTGCCCTCTGTTTTTTAGCCATTGCTGCACCATAGCAAGGCAAGGCAAGATTATTTGTATAGCACAATTCATACACAAAGTAAATCGAAGTGGTTTACAGAATAAGAAAGACATTAAAATCACCATAACTATTCATTTAAGCAAAGAGGTTCGTAATTCGATATATTGTGATGGCCCACGATATTATTGGGAGAGTTTTGACGATACAATATCAAGATATTTCGGTTATTGTTATGTGCCTAATTAGCGCTGAGTATAACATTGCATGTGAGATAATGTAAGGAAATGTATCTAAAATAAACACAAGTTCTGACCCATGTGTCAAAGGAAGCAGAACGTTTAGATTCAGATAAAGCAGGAACTAACCAGGAAACAGGAACGCTAGCGTTGTCGACACAATTCTTCTCCTCGGGGTTGATCATGCCTGGGTGCACCGTGAGTGAAGCCGTGGTGTTAACTATAGGGCGTGACCTGCGGGTGAAGATAAAACATAGATTGGAGACTTGCTCATGGAAAGCACAATTAGCACATTCGCTGTAGTAAACAAACTTCGTAATTGCATATACAGCTCGAAATACCGTACCTATAAAGAATGGCCTTATCAACACCGAAAGCGCCCACGATGAGGTCTGAAAGCAATAAAAGCACAATTAGGCTAGATGTTTGCAACAAATCTGCAGTGTTGATTGGTAAATGGGAGCTTTGTTTACCAGGGTAGCCGTTCATGTCGAGATCCAGAGCTCCTCGAAGGGAAAAACCGAAACTGGCGGGGAAGTTACCAGAGGCCCACTGTCCCACGATCACCTGAGATGGTTTATCCCGTAGCCCCTCGGAGAAGCCGTTATAGATGTAAACAAGGCCCTGGTGGTCGTCTCCGGCAAAAGGGGAGCTGATAGCCACATCTAAGGAGAGAGAACGGAAATTTATAATAAACCAGACCACATTGTTTGATAGGGATGGTGTGATTAATGGAGTTTATAGGCAGTGACCAAAGGATTTTAAAATATTGGATTAGATTACTTCTGTTTCATCCCTACTGAGGCAGCCATCCAGGATTCATGAAATTGGAGTTGCATTTGGAATTTAGTTACTGGATATAGGGAAGCTAAGGCTATACAATTTTAATAACTTACTAATAATAACACTACATACTTTTATATTATTTTAAAGACAAATAATATGTTTGAACTGTCTATTTTTTTAATAGACCGATTTCTATTGGCATATTAAAACACTGGATCGTAACCTTCCTGTTATCAAAGCAACAAGTTACTGTTCAGATCTATGAAGAGGTGATCCTGCTCACAGTAAGAATGTGTTTTTCAGTATTAGTAATAAAAATGTGATTTTTTTGTAACTAGTTTTCTATCACATTTTCTGTTGTGTTTAATTGAGAGGAGGACAGGCAAAATAACTATCACAGTAAGTATTTGTATAACCAAACTGAATAGATTTTTACCATTGAAGCCATCCTGGTTCAGGTCTCCCAAAGGTGCGATGGTGTTCCCAAATCTGCCGTACACCTGTGTTCCGGTGAGGTGAGGTAGTTTCAGGTCCAGGCTGAGGGGGGCATTCTGTAAGTAAACATAGACCCTTCCCATTTCCTCCAGTCGACCCCCGGACCCCCGCACCATGAACAAAGGGGCTCCCACCAACAAGTCCACCAACCTGCAGACAACAGAGAGAGATTACTATTAAGGCTGCAAAATTAATCTTTATCAAACTGTAAAAGCAATTTGAATCTCAATTGGTAAATCACGAAGGCGCCATAATTTCCTCAACAAACAACAAAAATATCCAGTCTTATTCTGCAATTATTATTTTGTCAGTTCCAATTTCATTCTTTTTTTTTTTTTTTTCAATTCTTCTGGATGTGTGAAAAAGTGAACTTGGAACAGAACCCTATTATTAAAACATAAATAGCAAACTTAATCACAATTGTTAGCTATTTTCCCAAATCGTTCAGCTGTAATTACTATGAAAAATTGGGGAGACTGGCGTAGCAGTTGACAATTCATAACAAATATCTACTGAATGGCAAGCAGTCCCGAAAATGGCATCCATAACAGCTTTAACATATGAATAGGATTGTGGAAATAACTGGCATTTATGTCATATTATAAATCAGAAGATAATATTACTTTATTATACTATCAAGTACTTCATGTTTTCATTGTAAATTTGGTTAGACATAAGACAAAATGCACTGTGTCTCTGTGCCTTTGTAATAAAGTTGAATGGATCTAATCTAATATCATGGACTGTTTGTCACACTATATCAGATTATAAATTCTGGGGCTACATGCATTATTTTGCTGCAGAGACATTGTACAGAAAATCTGTAAAGGGACTGCAGAGACCATGATCCTTTTCTCCTAAGTGCAGTCATTAAATTATGGTTACATTATTACTTAAAACTTGCTCAATAGCATCTGTATTGAAATCAGTGAATAAAACATCAATAGGAATGGTGACTATAGTTCATCTTGACTTATAACCAGCAGCAGGACAATCAGTTTCAAATTATTTAAAGTTATCGTGATTTTTAAAAAATGTCAGTAGAAAATCAATTACTCACCCGTCACTGTTGATATCAGATGTTGCCACTGAATAGCCAAAATATGATCCCATCTGCAGCAGAAAGTAACGCATGTTAGCATAGCATTAGCATGTGATCACAATTGTAAGTCCATTAAAAAGAGCAATTTCATGCTTAGCAGTAACTTATAAGAAAATGATCAAAAATCTTTTAAGAATCACAGCATTGTTAGCTAATTTTCCCACTCATCATTATTTTAAATAAGTGTTGTGTGTTTTTAATTCCCCGAAGCATTTATGCAAACTGCAACTGCACTTTTCCTTCATAATTGAGCTTTACTGCAAACCACTAAAGAGCTCAGAGAAGGCAGTCTTGTAAAAGGGAATAATTGTGCTGCTTACTCTGATGCAATAAATTAAAACCACTTAGGACGAGCCAGGAATAGAAAATAAGACATAGCTAGTTAAAGTAGTAGATAAAGGGTACACAAGAAGAGAGAAGTATTTAAGAGCTGGAGCAATTATAAAAATTTATTGTAAAACAGATTGTAGTGTTTTATTATTGGCATTAGTATTATTTTAGTTGCAGTCATAGTTATACTGTTCTTGGTAGTTGTGGTAGTTGTAGTAACAGATTTATATATAGCACATTTCAACATACTAGAAACACTTCACAATGTATTATGATTTATCCCATAAGTCTATAGCCACACCTGCCCTGGGGGGAGACTGGCAAAAATGAAGCTGCCAAACTGTGCCATCAGCTCCTCCCAAACTGCAGGTTAGGTGCAGTAATCTCTTTTGTATATTATTAGTAGTTGTAGCAATACATGGATGAATCTAGAGCAACTTTCAACATACTAGAAGCGCTTTATAAAACATTATTCATTCACTCCATACTCACTGGTGGTAAGGCTAGTCTAGAGTCAGATCTGCCCTGAGGTAGGCTGATAAATAAAAGGCTGCCAATCTGATCACGACAAGTCACGAACACAATACACACACTGTTCTGTAATCAGAGTGGCCCTGGGAAAACAAGGCTTCCAAATCTGAACCATCAGTAAGCCCATCAAATCACTACCTATTGCTTTTACAATACTAAGCAAGTTGGTGGAAGTGCCTTGCGAAAGGACACAAAAAAGGTATAAAATAATTCCATGGGGATTTGAACTGCAAGTTTCTGGTAGTGGTAGTGCTTGTAGTACCGGTAGTAGCAGTCTTGTTAGTTGCAATAAAATTAGTTATTGTAGTAGTAGTAGTAGTAGTAGTAGTAGTAGTGGCAATAGCAATAGCAGCAGCAATTGTAGTAGTCATCGTAGTAGTAGTAATCGTATGTATTTATGTAGGTTAGGTTAGGTTGCTTAATTTATTAGGTTGTTTTATAGTAGTAGTAGTAGTAGTAGTAGTAGTAGTAGTAGTAGTAGTAGTAGTAGTAGTAGTAGTAGTAGTAGTAGTAGTAGCAGCAGCAGTCTTAGTAGTCATCGTAGTAGTAGTAGTAATCGTATGTATTTATGTAGCTTAGGTTGCTTTATTTATTAGGGTACTTTATAGTAGTAGTAGTAGTAGTAGTAGTAGTAGTAGTAGTAGTAGTAGTAGTAGTAGTAGTAGTAGTAGTAGTAGTAGTAGTAGTAGTAGTAGCAGCAGTCGTAGTAGTCATCGTAGTAGTAGTAGTAATCGTATGTATTTATGTAGGTTAGGTTGCTTTATTTATTAGGGTACTTTATAGTAGTAGTAGTAGTAGTAGTAGTAGTAGTAGTAGTAGTAGTAGTAGTAGTAGTAGTAGTAGTAGTAGTAGTAGTAGCAGCAACAATAGCAGTTATTGTAGTAGTCACTGTAGTAGTAGTAATTGTATGTATTTATGTAGGTTAGGTTGCTTTATTTGTACCCATAGGTAAATCTGTTTAGTAAAAGCAGTAGCAACTGTATTGCAGTCATAGTCAGTCGTAGTTGCAGTGGCAGTTACAGATGTAGTCGTAATCGGAGTCACAGTAGTAGTAGTAGCAGTAATAGTAATAGTAGTATAGGATAGTACACAAGGTAAAACTCACTTGCTCCCCAGAGTAGTTTGCCAGCATCCTCATATCTGTACCATTCAGAATGTACACCTGCAACATAGAGCAACATATGGTGACTGTCTTTTATATGTTCAAGTGTAAGCTCTGGCCTCAGCAATGGAATTTAACTGAAAAAAACCCTACTATTCTCACCGTGACAAAAACATAAGACCATTTTCTATTTCTTAACTTTCCTGAACCCGACCCAATTTTCAAAGCCAGGAGCCAAGAATCTTAGAACACTGTTTAAAGGCCAAAGTAGCGATTAGCTTCTCCTTACCAAACCATAAAGCATGAGCCCCTTTGGAACGCCGGCAACGAAATCTGGAAAAAAAAGGGGGGAAAAAAAGCAAAACAAAAGGAGTGATTTAAGAGGTAAAGAGTAGGTCACAAGTGGCAAAAGGATCATAGATTTCCAAAAGTGACTCCAGTTCATTGACATGCAAAATAAGACAGTTGTTTATATTGAATTTGTCATCTTTTATTTGGCTTACCTTCAACTGCATCACCACTAAACTCTCCAACAGCCACAGAGTATCCTGTAAAAAGCACAAAATACATATATCAACACCACATTACCAAAGCCTGTTACAGAAAATGCCAAAGTAGTATTTTGAAAGTATGCAACATTACTATAAAATTGTCATAACAGTGTTTATATTTTACACTCCAGATACTATATTTTAATCTTAATCAAAACAGGCAACTAAAGCTCAGTTTAGTCCTATTTTATTCCTAGTTTAGTCCTGGTTTATTCCTGGTTTAGTCCTGGTTTAGTCCTGGTTTAGTCCTAGTTTAGTCCTAGTTTGAACCAGTTTTGGTCCAGCTCTAGTCTTGGCATACCCTGGTTCACCCCTGCTTTAGTCCCTGATCTGGTCTCAGTTTAGTACCTGGTCTAGTCCCTTGTCTACTCATAGTTTTGTTTTGATTTTAGAGCTAGTCCAATTCTGACCTAGTCAAGATTTAGTCCTGGTTTAGTCCCATGGTTCTGATGTGTGTATGTGTGTGTATTTGCGTGTTAAGTGCATCACTGAATTTCATTTCCAATGGATTGTGAAAATATGATGTAATGGGTAAATCCCCAAAACATCTCCCACTGTCAGTATTTGAGTTGTCATACCTTGGTAGCTGTCATCATGTTCAGCCTGGACTTGCTTGGTCTGTATCTGGCCATCCACTGACTGCATGAAGTAGCCTGGATAGTACGCTTTTATGATATTCTCTTTTGCAGCAGAAATGACTTGACCTGATGTTAACACCCCGAAGAAAAAGAGAAAAAGTTGAAAGATCTGACATTCAGCCCTTATGATTTACATGTGCTGGTCTGGTATGCCCTAGATACCTTGCCAGAAATAGCTGCCTGGTCCTCCCAATACCACCTTGCCATCCTGGAAGATAAAGGCTGAGTTAGTGCAAAATAAAACTGAAATTTAGCATGAAGATTGTAATAATTCTTAAATAAATACCGTGGTGAAATCAGCACTGAATCCTCCCTGGCAGTAGCCTTGTCCACCTCTATCACTGATTTCTGAAATGCATACAATACATTAGTAATTTGCCATCAGTTGCTTAGTTGGTAAAGATAATGACCCATTTACTGAAAGATTTGCCGTTCTGTTCCCAGTTCCAACAAAGTTATTATTTAATTTAGCAGGAGACCCATCGTGTACAAATTTGCTGGTTCAACTACCACTGGTTCTGGTTATTTATGGTTAAACGTTCCTCTTTATTTATTTAGACCGCCCAAAAAATTGCCATTAAATTTTACCAACAAAGCTCGGAGACAGAGAAAATAATTAAATATGATGAAGTTACTGATAGCTCATGGGTAACAGCTTTTGTACCTGTCCGGCAAGGTGCGTATTCCACAAATTTGGTGAAATTCTGGGCTGAGAGGTAGCACGCTCCTGTAGCATCAGAATGAGGGATGTCTTTTTCTGTCCTCCAGGAGTACAGGGGGGCACAGGCCTAGAAAAAGAGAGGGGGACACACAGGAGAGGGGGAAGGAAAGGGGAAGAAAGGGAGAGGAGAAATGGAGAAAGAGATACAGGAGAACAGGAGAGAGAGAGACACGCACAGTAGAGAGTGAAGGGAGCGAGACAAGAAAGGGGGAGGAAGGGAGACATAGGAGAGGGGGGAAGAGAGAGAGATGAGAGGGTGGTAGGGGGTGGAAGAAGAAGGGAGAGAGTAATGATGAATGGTTTGCGATCCCGGGCGGGAGATGTTTTTCCAGTTGCAGGAACAGCTTGGAGAACTCATGAGGGTCCTGAGGCTGAGGTCACAACTCAAACTGAGCAAACAACAGGCTGCTGCACTTTGAAGCCACAACTAAAATTGGCTTTTCTAGCAAGAAAAAAAATTATAATGGCTTTTCTAGTGAGTAAAGCTAATTTTTTAAAACGCATGAGCTATGGTCTAACATGGATGGAACTATAACTGCTATTGCAACAGTCTCGCTTTGTGCTTTCACTGCAATAAAAACAGTCCCATTTCTGACCTGTTTAGGCTCATTTCAGACCATGTGCAGCCCTACTTTAGGCCTGATATTGTCTGGATTTAGATCTAGCAGTACTCAGAAAGCCAAATATTAAAAAAAACTATGACTATAAATAAATAAAATTAAATTAGGGGTGTAATAATTTCCAAGTCTCACTATACAATATTGTCACGGTATGAACTTCATGGTACAATATTTATTGTGATATCATGGGAAAGCTCATGATGTGGGAAGGCTCACGATTAAAGATGTAACAATATCCAAATCACTTGGTTCGATATTTCCACGATATACATCTCATGGTGTGATATTTATTGAAATATTTTGTTAATATGCTACTTTTTCCTCTTAAAATGCCTTGACAAGACTTAATCCAAACAACTAAGATTTAAAAGTGCTTAGAACTGTTATTTCTTCTTGTAGTCTGCACTGAAATGGAGCAAAGGATCATGGTCTATGTAGTTCCTTCTGTCTTTTTTTAGCTATTACTGCTGTATAACTCTTAATTTAAGCAAAGAGACTTGTAATTCGATATATTGTGATGGTCCACAATATTATTGTGAGAACTTTGACGATACGATATTACGATATTTTGGTTATTGTTACAGCCCTAATTAAAATAGTAATATTTTTATGACAATGACTGCACTAAATACTTATTAAGACATAGTAGATTCTTCAATACTAAAGAAACTTTCTATAATATCAGGTATACTGCAAATGAGACAAATACTGCAATAATAAAGTATATCCCTTTAACTGTACGAAGCTGAAGTGACAAATTTGCAGATAGTTGAAAGAGTCATTAAAAATCATTACAACAAATGATATCTTTTGAATGGCTACAGGTACTACAAATGGCATCTATAAGAAAAGGTAACGCAACACAAATCAATTAAGCAAAAATCACATATTTAACATTTTCATTGATAATCTTCTTACCAAAATTGTGTCGCCATGGGAACGCACCGTCGCCCCAAACCACTGCCGTGACTTGAAATCAGCCTGATATTCTGTATCATTGATGTTGACAGTTCGATCTCCTGCAAAAACAATACAAAAAGGTCAATTAGCTGCAATGGGGATACGATAAGATATAGAGATATTAGCCACACATTCCTTTTCGTATGAGATGATAGCTTTCTTTGCAAACTTGGCTCAGCTTCAATAGTGACAGCTTAACCCCTGTGACCCCTGGCTTAGTTTGACCACCTGGACGGTCACTTGGATCTCCCACACTGAAATTTTGGCAGTAGCAGGTGACGCGACAGATGGCAGGAGGTTACGGGTTTTAAACTTTTGTGTTGGAAGTTCTACGTCACATCTGTGAGATAATTGAAAACGAAATGCAGAGAAATTGATTTGAAAGGGAAGTCATATCTGTGCCATATGGCTCCATAAAGGGAAGAAAAAAGCTAAGGAGAAGTTAGCCGCTGGTCATAAACTGATGGATGGTATTGGCAAATAGTCTGGTATAGTGCTCAGAGGTGAAGCGTTAAGAAAATAAATGGCATTGAAAACATATTTTATCATATATATTTAAAGGGTCCATATTATACTGTGTTCTGATCTATGTTATGTTGTTGTTTCCTCATCACAAATATACCTGGAGTTGTGTTTTGTTTAATTCGCATATGTTCTCACAAACTCTGCACATTTAAGCTGAGTTCTTCTCTTAAACAAAAAACACTCGCTGTAATACAGGAAGTGCTCCAATGTATTTTTAAACTCCATACACCTTCACTAGAATAAGTGGTCATTGCTAATCTCTACTGAATAAAAGTACTCTTCATGTCATCACAAGGTGGAACAGAGCATTTTGAGCTTTGCAATGGAGACAGACTAGGGCTACGTTCAGACAGCAGGGCTTAATGCTCAATTCCGATTTTTTTGTGAAATCCGATGTTTTTGCGAGGTCATTCACATTTCCAATTAAATGCGACTTGTCTGTGACTTCAGTGTGAACAGTAAACGGTGGAAAGTGTCCCGCATGCGCACTGGAGACACGATGACGTCAACCCCATGCGTCAACCGCAGCGAGCGTGCTCTGTGTTTACGGAAGTTGTCCAAATATGGTCGCGAGCATTGAGCACCTGTCGATTTTACAGTTCCGGTTTCCGCCTGCTTCAGCGCAGAATAGTGACATTTGTCCCTTGTTAATGACGTGTAGGTCGGATGGATGCGCTTTGGCCGTTCAGACTGAAGTCGCATGTCAAAAGATCGGATATGTATCGGATTCAGGACCACATATCCAAGTGGCCTGGGTCGCATTTGAAAAATTCGGATCTGTGCCGTTCAGACTGTCATTAAAAGATCAGATACAGGTCACATAGAAGCCAAAAAATCGGATTTGGGTCACTTCAGGCTGCAGTCTGAACGCAGCCTAATAGTACAGGCTTAGTCAAACGTGTGAATGAAACTCAACGTAACAGCCATGAAGTAACGGCATTCTAACATGGTTTCAAGCTCACAAGAATCAATGTGGCATAATATAGGACTTAATTTCCAGCTGTTAACACATCTGCACTTTCCTTAAGGTTTAAATAAAGGTAGTCATATCTTATCTTGGAATGAAATACTGAAAAGATTATGACTAAAGCAGAGTAGTAAAGCATGTTAAAAAGTACCAGGAACATCCTTGCAAAAAACCTGTAGCAGCACATCCTCCTTGAGCTCTCTAGTTTGGAAAATTGGCTACAACTATTAATGTCTTGTACTTATCTGCTTAGCAAAGATACTAAAAGAATGTTACTTCTGCTAAAGCCAATGTCACCCTGGGGCTAACTGACATAGATGGCACCACCAGCTACTGCAACCATTCATACAGCAAGGTGGGGGAAGTACCTTGCCCATGAACACAACAGTAGGGCTGTTGTCAACTTAAGTAATTTTTGGTTGACTAAAAACATGCCCTGTCCATAGATGAGTGGGCCTAAAAGGGGGTCTGGCATTGTGCTGCAAAAAGCTCTCAAAAGTATTGGAATAGTGGCAAAAACTTCTATAAATATTGGATAATAATTGGAAAAAAAGATTAAAATGCTCAGTTTGATAGTTCAAGAACTCCAGCACACTCTATGCTTTGTTCTTTCTGCTGTGGTCTTAAGATATCACAGACCGATTAATCGACTAAGAACTAAAGGAAAACATCCCTTCAAAAAGTATATATTACACTGCATGAAGCATCCTTTAATCTCTTCACAAATGTGCAAAGGTTTTAAGGTTGTGGACAAAATGGTTCCATGCTGAAAACACTCTTGCGTAACATGTTTTTGTTGATAAGTCCTTTGTTGTGTGCTGCTTTATTCTTTTTGTTTGTAAGTATTGAGGATGGGGATCAAACAGGCTCAGTGACCTCAGTTTAGCTCAACTGCTGTCTCCATCCTCTGCATTTCAAATCAAGTTTTTCACAAATTATGGGAGAGTGAAGAAGTTTGAGTAAACCTATGCCATCCAATTACCCACAGAAAAAGCAATATCTAGTATTGAAGAAGGTTTAGTTGCATTTTGTTTTGCTGTTTCGATTGTGAAAGCAGCCATAACGGAACATTTTGAGGTCAAATAATGTTCTGTGAAGTAAATATGTCAGAAAGATATAATGATTTCAAGTCACGTAACTTTTCTGGTGTAGGGTTTGCCATTGAGATGTTATTGATTTGCTTGGAATGTTCAACAGTATGGCATTAAACCTCTGTTTCTTCATTAAAATGTGTTTCTATGAAGACAAGCACAAGATACCACCAAGCAATGCTGTAGGTTAGATCTGTGGCAAGCTCACTTACAGTAGGAATACATGTTTTTCAAGGTATTTTTGAACAATAAACACATCTATTATTTAATTCAGCAAAAACAAATAAGCTAATGCCATACTGTGGAGCATTCCAGGTAAGGTATTGGTGGTTTACAGATTCTAAAATGTGATGGCAAACTCCCAGATTAGAGGCAAGATTACATTGTACTTTGCCATGAAATATCCAAAATGTAAATACAAAACATTGAACCTGATCATTTCCATCAGTGACTAGACCCAAGAACTCACTGTATAACAACAAAAATGCGCAATATTCATTTTAGCATCACTTCCATCTGTACTAAATATTATTGGCCTACAGAATGTTTGTGTTATCATCTGAAACCCAGCAATTCCCCATGAAGACAAGTGGGTAGCACACTCTACACCAGAACATTTTCATGGTGCACCTTTAATTATATCTAAATATAATTTTTTTGCAGTGCAGTCTGCGTCATTCAGTGTATGTTCCACCCTAGAGAGCTCAGGACGTTGTGGAAACAGCAGAGGGGCCGAGGGGAGTCCAAAGAAAACACACAGGATTGGACAGACTTCCTTCTAGCAACCTCTCAATCACCTTTATTTACTCCTTTGTCTGTGTATACGCCAACATTACCTTCAGGTTCACAATCGTAATTCTCAAATCATATTTCTAGGACTTAAGTAATAAGTAGTAGTAGGACTAGGAGTAGTAGCAGTGGTAAGTAGTAGTTGTAGTAAATAGTAAGTAGTAGTAAGTAGTAGTAAGTAGTAGTAGTAGTAGTAGTAGTAAGTAGTAGTAAGTAAGTAGTAAGTAAGTAATAAATAGTACTAAGTAAGTAGTAAGTAGTAGTAAGTAGTAAGAGGTACATAGTAGGTAGCAAGTAGTAGTAGTAGTAATAGTAGTAAGTAGTAGCAGTAGTAATAGCAGTAGTAGTAGCAGTAGCAGTAAGTACTAGTAAGTAAGTAGTAAGAGGTGGATAATAGGTAGCAAGTAGTAGCAGTAGTAGTAGCAGTAGTAGCAGCAGTAGTAGCAGTAGTAGCAGCAGTAGTAGCAGTAGTAGCAGTAGTAGTAGTAGTAGTAGTAGTAGTAGTAGCAGTAGTAGTAGTAGTAGCAGTAGTAGTAGCAGTAGTAGTAGTAGTAGCAGTAGTAGCAGTAGTAGTAGTAGTAGTAGTAGCAGTAGTAGCAGTAGTAGCAGTAGTAGTATAGTAGCAGTAGTAGTAGCAGTAGTAGTAGAGTAGTAGCAGTAGTAGTAGTAGTAGCAGTAGTAGTAGTAGCAGTAGTAGTAGTAGTAGTAGCAGTAGTAGTAGCAGTAGTAGTAGTAGTAGTAGCAGTAGTAGCAGTAGTAGTAGTAGTAGTAGCAGTAGCAGTAGTAGTAGTAGTAGTAGTAGTAGCAGTAGTAGTAGTAGCAGTAGTAGCAGTAGTAGTAGCAGTAGTAGCAGTAGTAGCAGTAGTAGTAGTAGTAGCAGTAGTAGTAGTATAGTAGTAGTAGTAGTAGTAGTAGTAGTAGTAGTAGTAGTAGTAGTAGTAGTAGTAGTAGCAGTAGACCCAAACTGCACTCACAAAAACTACAAAAACAACAAATGTATGCAGAGAAATATAATATAAAATAAATATAAAATATAAAGACCCAAAAATACAAACATGATGACAAATTTTGGTCAACTAAGACACCACTTAGCAATTAACAGGACCAAACAACTAAAGTCTACTGCACCAAAAACGATTATACCTGCTCATAACTTGTGTGTATTTCTAGCTAAATCTCTCTCAGCACGACATAATTCATCATGAGCCAACGGGAGTCAACCGGGGCCCCAGACATATTAAGTGATCAAACTTCCATGTGTGAAAATAAGTGCTTTAACCATTGGGGCAATAATATAGGCCCCCACATCAAAACTCCCATCATAGGGCTGTTGTGTTAACTAATCTTCTTTAGTGGCATGGCGGCTTTGCTTAAATGCATACCCCGCCTCCATATTTTCATAACTCAAGGGCTCTTTGTTTACATAGGGTCCAGAGGTTTGGGTCACGTTACCATGGAAACCAGACGTCTAGAGGCAGTAAAGCCCTCTTAAAACTCGCACTGTGATCAGTCACTCGGGCGTGTAACATTAACAAGGAGAGCTTGAAGAACGTAAGAGTGACTGCTTCTCAAAAGATGGGATTAGTTCCACTATGTCACGGTCGCTACTTCATTTGGAATCACAAAATTATTTATTTCGTTTTAAAGCCCTGTGCACCGTATAACTCCTTAGCCAAAAACAGACTAC